CTCTAGAAGAGTCAAATCCAGAATAAACTAAGGCTTGCAAGAGAAAAAAGATGCTTAATGGCAACAACATACGTTTCTAGCAAGAGCTAGGATGGAAAAGATACAAAGGGTAAAGTATTTAGTACTCAAGCTTTATCTCCCTTCTGTCCCAAGCCACCCCCACTAAAAAGATATCAGCTTGAAGGGTCTTCAGGCTCTAAAATAACATGATGGAGTTAAAATCTGAGAGACAGTTAACTGATTTAAAGGAGTCTCAAGTCTCCACACCCAAACGAATTACATCCTGGGTGCTGAAAAAACTTGCAGATATGAATTCAGAAACACTGTAAAAATGAAGGGTTCTGAAAGAGTGGAAATTACAACTTGCCCAGTTTTTAAAGTTTAAAAAACTTATGTCCTAGGAACTACTAACAAATTTACTTGACTCTAGGAACAAGATCCTCAGAAGCCAGGATAAAGCACTATGCGTTCAATAAACGAATTGATTACCCTAGTAATGAGATACAAACCTTTGACCTTAAGCCCTCAGTCTACTGAGAAACGTTTGTATAAACAGTTTGATAAGCCCTCTAAAGTGGTATGAATGACAATGCAGTGCATATACAAGAGGGAATAGCTGAAATCAAGCTCTTATTTTCACCGCATTGATAACCTGATCACGGAAATCCACATTCAGCAGGTTATTTAAGGTTTCATAATTCATGCTTGAATTAATTTAAAAAACCAATAGTAAGTGCCATACTGTGTGCCAAGGACAAAGAAATAAATATGAATCCTGCCCTCAAAGTACTTACTTTCTGGTGAGAGGGACAGACTAAAAATTCTAACAATTACAGGGTAATATATGAAGTACTACGATGGAAAGAAGCAAAGGGTGGCTTGGGAGCACTGAAGAAGGGTACTTAAGTCTAATGAATAGATAGGTGATTTGTCAGGAAAGGATTTCTTACAAGGGAACACTAGAAGTGAGACTTAAAGGATACTTGGGGGTTACTACATAAAGAGAATAAAAGGGATTCCACACAGGAAGAACAGTAGGGGAGAAGACCCATGAATAACATGAAGGATTTGGGAAACAAGCAGTTCAAACTGACTAAAATGGAGGCACCATGGTGGGACATGGCAGAAGTCTAGGCTAGAGAGGAGTCGGACCACAAAAAAACTGTCTTTTGAGTGCCACCTTAAAGAAAGTGAACTTTATCCCTTAGCAGGGAAGTGTTTTAGTAGTTGGGATGATTCATAATTGGTTGAACAATTATACCCAAAAAGGCTTGATTGTTGGAGCTATGTCAACTTGGAGGGATGTCTCTAATGTTATGCTACAGAACCTTGGCTGGACCCAATTGTACTCAACAATTTACCTATAAAATTAATGTAGGGCTTCCCTGGTGGCGCAGTGGTTGAGAGTCCGCCTGCCGATGCAGGGGACACGGGTTCGTGCCCGGGTCCAGGAAGATCTCACATGCCGCGGAGCAGCTAGGCCCGTGAGCCATGGCCGCTGAGCCTGCGCGTCTGGAGCCTGTGCTCCGCAACGGGAGAGGCAAAAAAAGTGAGAGGCCCGAGTACCAAAAAAAAAAAAAAAAAAAAAAAATTAATGTAGATATGATATGTTTAGCCAAAGCAGATAGCCAGTATAAAAGAAGAGTCCAAAGGTTCTTGACAGGCAGAAACAATTGAAGAAATTTTGTAAAATAGACACACTGTTGAGGATAATTATAAAAAGAGTTCCATGTTGAGAAAACTGGAGATAGATATCTCCTGAGATCCCTTTACTTTTGAAATTCCGTGATTCTATTTCCAAAGAACATTGGTGCTCCTTTAAATACCTAAGTCTTCTAATTTGTTGAAGCTCATTTACTGGGCAATAATTTACATAAAAGCACCTAGAGTACCTGAAACACAGTAGATACTGTTTTTTTCTCTTCTTTTGTTTCTCTTTTTCTTTCTTCCCTTAGTCTGATTGAAAAATAGTTAAAGTAGGAAAGAATAAATCAAAGTAAGCCAGTCATGGTTGAGAGTCCGCCTGCCGATGCAGGGGACACAGGTTCGTGCCCCGGTCCGGGAAGATCCCACATGCTGCAGAGTGGCTGGGCCCGTGAGCCATGGCCGCTGAGCCTGCGCATCCGGAGCCTGTGCTCCGCAAAGTAAGCCAGTCAGAGGTGAATGTTCACTTCATTCAGGACTTAAAGTATAGGAACTATATAACATGTTTCATCAAATCTAAGACACCAGTAATTGCAAAACATTTTATGTACCACTAAGAAAAAAAAATGCTGTCAAGTACAGCTTAACACCTAGTAATTGTAAGATGTCCCAGTTTCAGAGATGTTAAAATGTGAAAAAAAGTCATCATAGAATTGATGAAACATATCTTTTCATGAGGAGAAAAGGTAATGAGCCTCAGTACCACATTGGTCTTAAAAAGGGATTATTTCCTCAAACATTTAATAACAAAAAGGTATGCCATAATTATATAAGATACTCTTGATAATCCTTTGATAAGATACTCCTTTGATAATCAAAGGCTAATTTCTAGCATTATTTACCATTCTAGAATTTCCCGAATCTGCCTTAAGTAAACATCTGATCTGCCAAGTCTGTAAAAATTGGTTTTAGTATAGTTAGGGAGTAGGCCTCAGAGGAAGCCGATCTAAAACTCAAAAGCTCATGAATAAATCTTTTTTCACTAGGATTTCTGAGTTCTATAGAATGATTACAAAAATGATTTCACTGGCAAACATTACAATGTAGATTTGAAAGACTTTTGTTGACTAAGTGGATATGAGGGGGAGAGGTTGGAGTCTAGGATGATTTCCAGGTTTCTAGCTTGAGCAACTCTGGGTGTTAGAAATATCCACTGAGATAAAAATTGGAAGAGAAAGGTACTTGGAGGAAGATAAGTATCAATACTCATCACCATTACACTCTAGATATCTCATTCAGGTAGGATATGATTTGCTATTCTCTACAGATCAAGATAGATGTACATGTTGTATCTCCATTAGTGATTACAGGATCATAAACAGAATTGGAAGAGATCTTAAAAATCACTTAGTTCGGGGCTTCCCTGGTGGCGCAGTGGTTGAGTCCACCTGCCGATGCAGGGGACACGGGTTCGTGTCCCGGTCCGGGAGGATCCCACATGCTGCGGAGCGGCTGGGCCCGTGAGCCATGGCCGCTCGGGCTGCGCGTCTGGAGCCTGTGCTCCGCGTCGGGAGAGGCCACTGCAGTGAGAGGCCCGCGTACTGCAAAAAAAAAAAAAAATCACTTAGTTCATATCCACCTCCTCCTCTCATTCATCCCCCAAACCAGTGTTTGAATTCCCTTCACTCTTGTGAAATGATCATCCAGGGAGAATGAAATTGCTTAACCTCTCACTCTCGATTCCCACAACTGTAAAATGGAAATAATATTACCTACCTCAGAGAATTAAATCAGATAACAGATACAAAGCACTAGTGCCTAGCAAGTGTTCAGTAAGTAGGTCCTTAATAGATTATCAGCCTAAAAAGTGACAATGTTGTACAGTTTGTAACCCATTGTGAAATTGATTGTGAAATCAATTTTAGTGTGCAGTGACCAGCAATTTAAAGAAGTGAAATAGAATACATGACATGTAATATGTGTATTATGTCATAAAACGTTTGTTTCCATGTAAATGTGGATATACATGTATATCTGTGCTCTGGGTCACAATGTGAAATGTATTACTGTGCGCCAGGTGGAAAAAAGTTTGAGAAACACTGTAACACACATTAGTTCTTTTCTTCCTTTGCTGATTTTTCGTGTTGAAAGCAGACCTTAGTTTTAGAGAGATTATCCCTTTGTCGAAGCTTTAGAAACTATTAAGTATGAAGTACTGTATCTCTGTAAAATATTTTTGTTTCGGCTCCCCACATAATATCTGCTGAATAGAAGGTGTTAAATACACATTGGTTGAATCAGGAACCAGAAATAATATGAAAATATAGAGAGACTAGAGGTTCTCAATCTACTGGGTGATCAAAACTCCTTTGAGAAGTTGTTGCAAGTTTTGGACCCTCTTTCCAGAACTGTCAAACACTCACAATTTTGCACGGATTCTAGAGAATTCCTTAAACTCCATCCATCATCCTCTAAGGATCTATGATTCCTGAGAACCCGAAATGAAGATGTTTAATTTTAATTGATGACTGTGTGTTGAGGTCGAGAGCAGAAGAAGGCTTGGGATTAGATTGCTTTTTAAATTCTCCAACAAATCCTAGGATTACAAAACTGGTGCTGAAAGGGCACCACAGTTCTATAGGCAGAGATGGAAAGAAATGTGTACAGTCTGGTTCTATTAGTGTTCTGGTCAAAGAATAGTGGGGGCAACTTTAACTTTTTTTTAAAAAATTATTTATTTTTGGCTGCCTTGGGTCTTCGTTGCTTCTTGCGGGCTTTCTCTAGTTGCGGTGAGTGGGGGTTATTCTTCGTTGCGGTGCGCCGGCTTCTCATTGCGGTGGCTTCTCTTGTTGCGGAGCACGGGCTCTAGGCGCAGGGGGCTTCGGTAGTTGTGGCTCTCGGGCTCTAGACCTCAGGCTCAGTAGTTGTGGCGCACGGGGCTTAGTCGCTCCGCGGCATGTGGGATCTTCCCATACCAGGGCTCGAACCCGTGTCCTCTGCATTGGCAGGCGGATTCTTAACCACTGCGCCACCAGGAAGTCCCAACTTTAACATTTCTTTTACACACGTTGTCATTTGAATGCCACGGTAGTCCTGTGATGATGAAACTGCAGTTCGGAGGGCCTTAACGATTTATCTAAAATGATTCAGCTGGTATGCTCTAGAAGAGACTGCAAACAGCACGATCCTACAACTCCCAGGGGCAAGTTGGGTAGAGCACACAGAGAAGGCGGAAAGGGGTGGAGCCGCCCAATGCGTGCCGTTGCATCATCGCCGACGTCTCCGGTTTTCCTTTCGCAGCAACCCTTCTTTTCAGTCCAGTACGGTGGCCGACGGGAGCCAGACGCCGGGGATGAATGAAGGTGCTGTGTGCAGGTTGAAACAGTCTCCTCCGCTTTCCCCTCCCTTAAGTCCGGGCTGTGCCTTTGTGCGGTGTGCTCATCGAGCCCGCATCGCACCGCTGGCCCGATTGGTCCCGGCGACTGGGTTTTTGCTGCCCAGGTCGACTCAGGGCACAGCCAGGGCTGGGGAATCCGGATTATCGCCTAGGCCCAACTTCGGACAGCGCTCTAGATTTCTACCGCGTCCCGCCTCTAGTGCCGCCTCTAGGGCGCCGAATCCCCGTGGGGTCCCGGGAGGTTGGAGGGTAGATTTTAAGGTATGAAGCTTTCACTTCTCAGACGTCAGAGCGTTTCGGGGTCCATGTCCGCAACCTGCCCGACTTTTCTCAGCCAGAGGGATTGGTTGGTTCTCGTTACGCCCGGGGCCAGACCTATGAGCACACATGTCTTGGCGCCTCGGCTCTGTCAGCCCGCCCCTCTGTTAAAAGGCCAGCTCCTTTTGCTTAAAAGCAAAACGTTTCTGCCCAGCCCTCTGTTACCCACGTTTCTGCTAGTCTGTGGGTCTCAAAGGGGATGGCTTTGGCGACCTGCTACTTGCTTTTTCTGTTTCTGATTGCTCTTGAAGACAGAGAAGTGCCCAAGTGGGACTCAGCTTTCTCCCACAGCTAATTGCACCTACACAGCTGGTTTTTTTGTTTGTTTGTTACTAGTAACACAGGGGATATAGGATAGTGTTAAGGTCTCCAGGGCGTTGAATCTGTCATAACTTCTGGCTAGTGAGACGATTTACCAGTGCTTCCACCGACTCGTGGAGGGTGGGAAAGAGAAGCTTAACGGTTCTTCACATATGTTGGGTAGGTGTGTGAAAATAAAGAGGTACAAAAGATGAGCGTCCTTAACTATGCTGTTCTTTTACTTGCCTTGTGGCACTCATAGGACTGGTACAGTGGAGAAATTACTGGACTGGGATTTAGTAGATGAGGGTTCAGCCTTGGATTTTGCCACTGACTAGTAATACTCCTCTGGGCCTGTTACTTAATCTCTCTGGGTTTCGTATTCCTTCTTTGCAAAATGGGAGTATTAGAACAGAAGGTCCCTAAGTCTGAAAGAGACATTAATATACTCTGTTTTCTTTCTCATTTTCCAGGTGGCAGTAGAAACATAGGGAGCCTTTAATTGTGCCAGGAATATTGCCAACATCAGGGCCTATTAAAGATAAACCACGTTTTTCAGAGGTTTTAAAAAGAGGGGAACTCATACATGTGGAGTTATACCCCTACTTTTTTTTTGTAACCACTAGGATCAACAGCGATAATGACCGAGTGTACAAGCCTTCAGTTTGTCAGTCCTTTTGCTTTTGAGGCAATGCAGAAGGTGGACGTTGTTCGTTTGGCATCTTTAAGTGATCCAGAATTAAGACTTCTCCTGCCCTGCTTGGTGCGGATGGCACTTTGTGCTCCTGCTGACCAGAGCCAAAGCTGGGCTCAGGATAAAAAACTCATCCTTCGTCTTCTCTCTGGAGTGGAAGCTGTCAATTCCATTGTTGCTTTGTTGTCTGTGGACTTTCATGCTTTAGAACAGGATGCCAGCAAAGAACAGCAGCTTAGGTAATGTCATACTATATAATGTGGATTGATTGGTATTTATTTCGATTTGCTTAAAAAGAGGGAATCAAATTTTTTTGGAGATTTTAGGGCTTCTTATTGCAGTGCACTCTTCCAAAAAAGAGAAGATTGGGAATCTGAACTTTGGAGAGCATTTTTTTTTTTTTGCGGTACGCGGGCCTCTCACTGTTGTGGCCTCTCCCGTTGCAGAGCACAGGCTCCGGACGCGCAGGCTCAGGGGCCATGGCTCACGGGCCCAGCAGCTCTGTGGCTTGTGGGATCTTCCCGGACCGGGGCACGAACCCGTGTCTCCTGCATCGGCAGGCGGACTCTCAACCACTGCGCCACCAGGGAAGCCCTGGAGAGCATTTTTTAAAGTTATTTTTCATTTATAATTAAAATTCTAGGGTCTTTTGTATTTTTATTTTATTTTTTTTGTGGTACGCGGGCCTCTCACTGTTGTGGCCTCTCCCATTGCGGAGCACAGGCTCCAGACGCGCAGGCTCAGTGGCCATGGCTCACGGGCCTAGCCGCTCCGCAGCATGTGGGATCTTTCTAAGCCGGGGCATGAACCCGTGTCCCCTGCATCGGCAGGTGGACTCCCAACCACTGCGCCACCAGGGGAGGCCTCTAGGGTGTTTTGAATTCCATATTGTAAAATGTTGTGCTGAGAACTTTGGCTAGATACACTGTTGTGCTCAGGCTAAACTGATTAGGCTAATTACCCTCAGTGGGAAGGGGGTAGGGTAAGTTCCCCTAGAGTAGAAGGATTTATTGGAATCTCCTGAGAGGCTTTTATTTTTTTTTTTATTTTTTATTTTTTTTTGGTTCTGCCACACAGCATGCAGGATCTTAGTTCCCTGACCAGGGATCTTAGTTCCCCAGCCAGGGATCTTTGTTCCCCAACCAGGGATCTCAGTTCCCCAACCAGGGATCTTAGTTCCCCAACCAGGGATGGAACCCCCACCCCCCGCAGTAGAAGTGCAGAGTCTTAACCATTGGACCTCCAGGGAAGTCCTGTAGGAGGCTTGTTAAGCTTGTACTGAGTCCCCCAAATTCTGGACATTTGTTTTGTCCTTCCTCCCCCATTGTGGATCCAGTAGTGAGCCACTGTTGTTAATGGAAGTGGGTGTTAACTGTCAGTTGTAATGGAGTCTTTACACAGGTTGTGAATCTCTGAAATAGAAAAACAAAATATTTCAGAAGTAATACATTCATGAAATATATGAAAAGAATTCATATATTCTTTTGTAGATTATTTCTGTAAAAGGTCATTTTTATGCTTTTATTTCTGTGCCAGTGTTCTCATAATTGTTTTACACGTTTGTACTTTATTAGGCATAAACTTGGAGGAGGCAGTGGAGAGAGCATCCTGGTATCACAGCTGCAGCATGGACTGACTTTAGAGTTTGAACACAGTGATTCACCTCGTCGATTGCGTCTTGTGCTTAGTGAACTTTTGGCAATTATGAACAAGGTGCGTCTATTTTAATCACAGCTCAAAATATGCATGACTTGATATCTGCACATAGAAGGTAGAAACAGGCAAGAAGGCAGGCAGGTTGCATCCTCTTGTACACATATTTCTATTTGTTATGTAAGTGTCTTCCTTTCAAAGGCTTGAAAGGATATTAAATGCCTGCTTTTAAAGGCTGTTTCTAATTACTATTTTCTCTAATTTATGCCTATTCTGCATTCTCTATCATAAGGTTTTTTTTGTGTATGGAGTCCATTCAACGGCTTCTTGATATTTAGAAAGATATATAGCTCAAGACTTGTATAAATGACAAAATTTGAAAATATCTCTATAGGATATAATTTCTCCCATAAAATGTTGTGAAGTATGTACGTGATTCCTAAAAAATGTGTGAGATTCCTTTAGATACTGATTGAATTATGTACCTCATACGTAACGGTGACTGGGGAGTATCAAAGCTGAATTGAATGTGGGATATTTGGCTAGCTTCACTCACTAGGTGGCTGAATTGTTCCTGTATACTAAAGAAGGCTATTCAACCTCTCATCTCAGAAAAATGATAGGTTACTTTCTTTCTTTCTTTTATTTAAAAAATTTTTTAAAAATTTATTTATTTATTTATTTTTGGTTGCACTGGATCTTCGTTGCTGCACGGACTTTCTCTAGTTGCGGCGAGCGGGGGCTGCTCTTCCCTGTAGTGTGTGGGCTTCTCATTGCGGTGGCTTCTCTTGCTGCAGAGCACGGGTTCTAGGCGTGTGGGCTCAGTAGTTGTGGCATGCAGGCTTCAGTAGTTGTGGCTCATGGGCTCTAGAGCGCAGGCTCAGTAGTTGTGGCGCACGGGCTTAGTTGCTCTGCGGCATGTGGGATCTTCCCAGAGCAGGGCTTGAACCCGTGTCTCCTGTATTGGCAGGCAGATTCTTAACCACTGCGCCACCTGGGGAGTCCCTATTTATTTATTTTTATTGAAGATTTGCAATGTTATATTAGTTTTGGGTGTACATAGGTTACTTTAGGTCATGGACTTTTGGGTGATAATGGTTAATTGAAACTCTGAATTTTAAATTTGTTAATGTTAGGAGTTACCATACAGAGAACTAAGTTGGATCTTCATATTAAGATGTCTTATATAAGATTGGGCCCAGAGTTTGAGAAGCAAATGTTTTTTACTTTGAGAATATCAAGGTTAGTTAATTTATAATAAATAAAGTTTAGTTTTATCAATTGTGGACCAAAAAAACCTAAATTCTGTTTCCGAAGAAAATACTGATGGGGGCGTGGATTTAGTTAGTTCTAGATAGTTTTTAAGATGTGTTACAAATCTTAATTTTTTTTTCTATTACAAAGTTATTTACTTCAGCTCTTTTCTACTATACTGATAGTCTTTAATTTTTTCTTTTTCTTTTATTTTTGATTTTTCTTATTTTTTTGGTCACACCATGTGGCTTGCAGGCTCTTAGTTCCCTGACCAGGGATCGAACCTGGGCCATCAGCAGTGAAAGCACAGAGTCCTTACCACTGAACTGCCGGGGAATTCTTGACAGTCTTTAATTTTAACTAATATTTTCCTACATCTTTTTCTTAATACTGTACTTGATGCCTCTAATGAAATAAGTGACCTGCCTCCTCTGAGCGGTTTCCAGTTTTTCAGTTCAGCACCCTTCAGCATATGGGAGATGTAGCAATGAAACTTCTGTAGGAAATTTTCAGAAAAGCTGGTTGGTACTTTTGATGACCTAAATTTTTATTCTTTGTTTTTCCCACACTTCATTTAGAACATGAATTTATAGCTGTTATACTGCTTTAAGTTTATAGTTTTTTAGCTTTTTTTTGAACTACAACTTATGTAGGTAGCATTCTTAGTTCATTTCTTTGGCTTGTCTTATCTTTAATTCCAGATGTCTCCAAATATTTGTATAAATATAAATTATCAAGACTCATATTGCATGTCTGGAATAACAATGTGACTTGACTAATTGTGGTTAAATTGGTACATTCATCCAGTACTGCATATTCTACTGTAGTATATTAATGACTTATTAAGAGACACGGTCTGTAAGCTCAAAAAATAATTACAAAAATAGTAAGGGGTCTAATTCATTACCTGAAATTAAGAGAGTTCATCATTTCTTTTTTCTTTCTTTTTTTTAAAGGTATCTGAGTCCAGTGGAGAATTTTTTTTCAAGTCATCTGAGCTATTTGAGAGTCCAGTCTATTTGGAGGAAGCTGCAGATGTACTTTGTATTTTACAAGCAGGTACTATAATGAGTGCTTAGATAAATTTCAGATATAGTTTCTTGTTAAATGATACTGTGTAACTTCTTAACCTGGAGTGTTGTGCTGTTTTAAGGTTCACCTAATTAAGAATGTACCTTAAAAGTTTAGGTCAAAAATGACTAATAGTAGGACAATGATTAAGTAAATTATATTATTTCCATAGTATAGCATACTGTGCAGCCATTAAAGTGGTGTATTTGAAGAAATTTAATCATTTTGGAAAATGTTCACAATATGTTAAATGAAAAAAGCAAGTGGCAAAATGGTAAGTAGAATATAATCCCAGTTTTGTTAAAAGTAATACCCATAGGGGGATTAAAATAAAATCTTTCAAATTATTAACTTTGAGTGATGGGATTAGAGCTGATTTTATTTATATTCTTTGCACTTTTTGTATTTTCTGGGCTCTTTATAATAGGTATGCATGATCAGAATTAAAAGATAGAGGACATAAAAATGCAGAGAAAATTTTCATGAAAGTAACTCTTTTGACCAACACTGTCCACCACAGCGATGACAGTGTTCTGTGTTGTGCTGTCTAGTACAGTAGCCACTAGCCACATGTGGTTATGGAGTACTTGAAATGTGGCTAGTGTGATTGAGGAATGAAACTATTTTTAATTTAATTTAATTTTAATTTAAATAGTCACATGTGGCTACTGGCTATCCTACTGGACAGTTCAACTCTACACTATGAAAAGAAAGTACTTTAATTACTTTTAAATGACATTGGTGAAATGTCAAAAGATGTTTAATGTATGATACAATGAAATATCACTCCTTAGTAGTAACACTGATTTTGTTTTCTTATAGAGCTCCCATCCCTGCTTCCTATAGTTGATGTAGCTGAAGCCTTGCTCCATGTTAGAAATGGTGCCTGGTTCTTGTGTCTGTTGGTGGCCAATGTTCCTGATAGTTTTAATGAAGGTAAATGTAATTTTAAAATGGGATATTGAAGAGATTTGCTTGGGCATGTACAGGACCTTTTTTTTTTTTTTTTTTAAAAAATTTTTTTTTTTATTTTTTTTTCGCTGTGTTGGGTCTTCTTTGCTGTGTGCAGGCTTTCTCTAGTTGCTGCATGTGGGGGCTACTCTTCGTTATGGTGTGCGGTCTTATTGCGGTGGCTTCTCTTGTTGTGGAGCATGGGCTCTAGGCTTGCGGCCTTCAGTAGTTGTGGCACGCAGGCTCAGTAGTTGTGCCCTGCGAGCTCTAGAGCACAGGCTCAGTAGTTGTGGCACACGGGCTTAGCCGCTCCTTGGCATGTGGGATCTTACCAGATCAGGGCTCGAACCCATGTACCCTGCATTGGCAGGCGGATTCTTAACCATTGCACCACCAGGGAAGTCCCTAGGACCTATTGTTTGAGCTAAGAAGAAACACTTATATGGTTTTATTTGAGATTTTAGTTTTTGAAAATTTATTAGTGCGTATTCATTGTAGAAATGCTGAGTTTAGAGAATTCAAAATTGTTTTGAGGTTACAGATTTAAGTACAGTGAGTATGCAGCAAAATTTTCTTTTTTTGACCATTCATCACCAGTGCTATAATAGGGAAGTAAAAAATACTAAAGAAATAGAATATATAATCCCTGTGTTCAGTGAACAAAGGGGAGAGAACATATATCTGTGAAATAGCCAAAGAGCAGTACGAGATATACGTAATCAGAAATACCAGCAATCAGACCTTTGTTTTTTAGCCTTATTGCTATCAGCTTGCAGAAAAGTATAGGGTAGAAATTGAGAAAAATCAACTGAAATTTTCACCACTATTTCAAACTGCTAGTGACTGAAGATTGTTGTTTGGGTCTGAGTGAAATAAAAATTACATTTATTGAGCAAGGTAATTCGTGAATTGAGAGTCAAGCAGAAAAAGATGCTGGATCTGGGGGGCATAATTTCTTTTTTTTTTTTAATAAATTTATTTATTTGTATTTGTTTATTTTTGGCTGCACTGGGTCTCCGTTGCTGTGCGCGGGCTTTCTCTAGTTGCAGCGAGCGGGGGCTACTCTTCGTTGCGGTGCGCAGGCTTCTCATTGTGGTGTCTTCTCTTGTTGCGGAGCACAGGCTCTAGGCACGTGGGCTTCAGTAGTTGGGGCATGCAGGCTCAGTAGTTGTGGGTCGCGGGCTCTAGAGTGCAGGCTCAGTAGTTGTGACACACGGGCTTAGTTGCTCCGTGGCATGTGGGATCTTCCGGGACCAGGGCTTGAACCCCTGTTCCCTGCATTGGCAGGCAGATTCTTAACCGCTGTGCCACCAGGGAAGCCCTGGGGGGCATAATTTCTAAACTTGTCACTCACTCTTTGTGTGATCTCCATCAAGATACTTAACTTCTCATTTGAAAAATGGAGGCATTGATAATATTTCCCTTTTGTTTCTAAGAGATTTACTGAATATTACACGATAGATTTAGGTTGACCTTTCAGCTCTTTAAAGATGTCATTCTGTTGTCTATGGTAATTTTTATCTTTATTCCTCTGTACATGTTCCTTTTTTTCCTCTGGCTACTTTTATTTGTTTATTTTTTTTTTTATCCCTTCTGGCTACTTTTAAGATTTTCTCTTTATCACTGGTTTTCAGAGATTTGATTGTGATGTGTCTTGGTATGATTTTCTTAGTGTTTATCCTTCTTGGAGTTTATTGAACTTGTGGGTTTTTAGTTTTCATCAAGTTTGTAAAAATTTCTTCAAATATATATATTTCTTTCATTCTCTTTTTCTGAGACATTACAAGTATGTTTGACTATTTGATGTTCCACAGGTCACAGTTCATTTTTTTGAGTCTCTTTTCACTCTTGGCTTTATTTTGATCAGTTTCTATTGCTATGTTTTCAAGTTTCCTGATCCTTTTCTTCTGTAGTGTCTAATCTGCATAAATGAGCGATTCTCAAGACTGAAAAAATTGTTTCTGATATCCTACTTACAAAGCTTAAGGTAATGGAGCCTATTAAATGTTCAGTTTGTAGGGGCCTGATCAAAAATGGAGAACGACAAGATGAAGAGAGTCTTGGAGGAAGGCGGAGGACGGATGCCTTACGCTTCTTATGTAAAATGAATCCTTCTCAGGCCCTGAAGGTCCGAGGCATGGTGGTAAGAGATCTTATTATTTTTCTGAGATAAAAGCCTTTATATTAGGACCAGGAACCCTTCTCAAGATGGTTTTAGAATATTATAGAGATTTGGAATTATAGTTATAGACTGGATGTATTACCTTCTTCTCTGGGTTTTTATGTTTTGTGTTATGTCCTCCCCTAAACTTTAGATTCTGGCTCATCCTGGCCCTTTTCCTTATGATATTGAATTCAGTTTGTTTTCTTTGCTCTGTTAGGTGGAAGAATGTCACTTGCCAGGTCTTGGAGTGGCTTTGACCTTGGATCATACTAAAAATGAAGCTAGTGAAGACGGAGTGAGTGACTTGGTTTGTTTTGTTAGTGGTTTACTTCTTGGAACAAATGCGAAAGTCCGGACTTGGTTTGGAACTTTTATCCGAAATGGACAGCAGGTGAGGGAGAAATACGTGTATAGACCAAGGATCATGCTATTTTAGTAGTAAGAGAGGAAGAAACACTTTTAGAATGATGTCATTAAGTCCGTGGTTCTCAAACTTCTTAGTCTCAGGACCTCCTAACATTTAAAATAAATCATTGAGAACTCCAAAGAGCTTTTGTATGGGCTTTTTTTTTTTTTTTTTAATTTAATTAATTTATTTTTGGCTGTGTTGGGTCTTTGTTGCTGCATGCAGGCTTTCTCTAGTTGCGGCGAGCGGGGGCTACTCTTCGCTGTGGTGTGTGGGCTTCTCATTGCTTTGGCTTCTCTTGCTGCACAGCATGGGCTCTAGGTGCATGGGCTTCAGTAGTTGTGGCACGTGGGCTCAGTAGTTGTGGCTTGAAGGCTCTAGATTGCAGGCTCAGTAGTTGTGGCGCACAGGCTTAGTTGTTCCACAGCATGTGGGATCTTCCCAGACCAGGGCTCGAACCCGTGTCCCCTGCATTGGCAGGCGGATTCTTAACCACTGCGCCACCAGGGAAGTCCCTGTATAGGATTTTATCTATTGATATTTACCATACTAGAAATGAAAACTGCAGTTTTTGAAATATTTATTTATAATTAATTGAAAAATAATAATCTCATTAAATGTGACTATACTTTTTTAATGAAAAATAACCGTATTTTCCAAAACAAAAATTTACTGAAAAGAGTGGTATCATTGTGCATTTTTGCAAGTCTCTTTAATGTCTGGCCTTTGGAAAAACTGCACTGTGTACTTGTGGGAGAATGAGTGAAAAAGATCTATAATGTTAAGGAAATATTTTTGACCTTCTGGACCCCCAAAAGAGTATTGGTAATCTCCAGGTTTCTGGGTCAGCCACGTGAGAACTGCTACGTTAGGTTGCTACATTAGGTCATCAATACAAGTTGTTATTGTAGTCTGTAATTTTAATATGTGTGTGTATATTATTATTATTATTATTATTGTGGTAAAATATACATAATGTAAAATTTACCATTTGAATCATTTTTAAGTGTACAGTTCAGTGACATTAAGTACATTTACAGTGTTGTGCAACCAACATCACTATTCATTTTGAGAACTTTTTCATCATCCCAAACAGAAACTCTGTACCCATTAAACAATAATTTCCCATTCCTCCTTCCTCCCAGCGCCTGGTAATCTCTTTTCTACTTTCTGTTTCTATGAATTTGCCCATTCTAGGTACCTCGTATAAGTGGTATTTCTCTTTTTGAGTTTGGCTTATTTTCCTTAGCATAATGTTTATTTTATTTTATTTTGGCTGCATTGGGTCTTTGTTGCTGTGCGTGGGCTTCCTTTAGTTGCGGCAAGCGGAGGCTACTCTTCACTGTGGTGTGCGGGCTTCTCATTGTGGTGGCTTCTCCTGTTGCAGAGCATAGGCTCTAGGCGCGCGGGCTTCAGTAGTTGCAGCGCGTGGGCTTAGTTGCTCCATGGCATGTGGGATCTTCCCGGACCAGGGCTCGAACCCATGTCCCCTGCTTTGGCAGGCGGATTCTTAATCACTGCGCCTCCAGGGAAGTCCCTAGCATTATGTTTTTAAGGTCCATGCATGTTGTGGCATGTGTCAGAATTTCCTTCCTTTCTAAGGCTAATATTTTATTGTATGTATCTACTACATTTATCCATCCATCTATTGATGAATATATATTATATTTTGCAACAGTTTTTAACTTGCAAAATATTGTACTTTTTCAAAAAACATCGCATGGTAACTCTGTGAATAGAGTCCTGTCCCTACAAAGAAACTAATGCAGAATGGGTTTTAACTTGTTGAGGTCAGTGAGCTTGACAGTAACATGTATACTGCTTAGACCCTTCTTCAGTCTTTTTTTTTTTTTTTTTTTTTTTTTTTGTACGCAGGCCTCTCACCGCTGTGGCCTCTCCCGCCGCGGAGCACAGGCTCCAGACGCGCAGGCTCAGTGGCCATGGCTCACGGGCCCAGCTGCTCCGCGGCATGTGGGATCCTCCCGGACCGGGGCACGAACCCATGTCCCCTGCATCGGCAGGCGGACTCTCAACCACTGCGCCACCAGGGAAGCCCCCAGTCTATTTTTTTTATGCCATGAATTCACCATACTTTTCTGTATCCAAGTTTTACTTTACTTCTAGCCCATTTGAAAACTAATTTTAAACTTTGCTTTTGAAAAGGAAGTGAATATTTCTAGTATTTCTTCTATATGTCAGGCACTGTGCTAAGCACCTGGTATGATCCGCTTGTTGGTAATTGTTCTTTGTGTGCAATAAGCTTATTTGAACCTTATATCATTAATAAAACAGGCTTACCATATTTTACTTTGAAACACTCTAAAAATAATAACTAACTTTTGCCTAGTCCTTTACAGTTTAGAACTGCTTTCATATTTATTATCTTTGTTCGTTTGTTCATCTATTTAACAAATATTGAACGCTTGCTGTATGTCAGGCACAATATGTCAGGCCCTGATGAGTAAGAGATGACTGGACGTTATCCCTGCCTGAAGAACTGGGGGGGTGGTAGACTTGTGAACTCCTAACTAGAGCACTCCTGGGAGTTAAATATTATTAATAAGATATTCATCTCCTTGTCATTTAAGACAAGGGGTTCAGAGAGATTAACTTATATGCCTAAAAGTACATAATCAATTAATAGCAGAGCTTTTGTTTCCACTCAAGCCCTTGTGTCTTCACAATCTGAGCACTTTGTACATATGACTCCACTAGTCATTATGTATTTGAAAGCATCATTTACATGATGTTTTACATCTCAAATTGTTATTAATTTAGTATTTTCTGTACAACCAGTCCAAATTAGGGTGAGTAGAGTATTTGTCAAATCCACTGAATTTGCTCGATGGATTAAAATGAGATTCTGCAGTTATGATAGCCTCAGCCTCCTCAAATGGATCAGTTTCAAGTGTTTAAGTGGAGAGCTTTGTTTGAACTTCCTTCTGACTTAGTAAGTGCTCCATGCTTTCTTCCTTTTGTGGCCCATATTTTACAGAGAAAAAGAGAGACCAGTAGTTCTGTCCTTTGGCAAATGAGAAGGCAGCTTCTTCTGGAGTTGATGGGCATTCTTCCCACAGTAAGAAGTACCCGCATTGTGGAAGAAGCTGATGTGGAGATGGAGCCCAATGTGTCTGTGTATTCGGGGCTGAAAGAAGAGCATGTTGTGAAAGCCAGTGCACTCTTACGTCTGTACTGTGCTTTGATGGGGATCGCTGGACTCAAGTATTCAATAATTTGATATTTTACCTTTTTGTCATTTTACTTTCTTGTTTCTAATCCCAAGAAAGTGAGCCACAGGCCTTTTATTCAGAGGATTTGGGTTTTCTATTGGGCTTAGGTAGTGAGCTCGCCTATATCAAGAATGAAGGCCTCAGGCAAACATTCCTAGCTGGGATTTATCCATCTATTTTGGTCTGATTGTAAATAGAATTATGTAAATACGGGAGGAGCGAGAGCAGTTTAAGAAACCTATGCCTCTACCACAGCTTGACATGGCTCTCATGAGTGATCTGTGAGTTATCCTTTACCTAGCCCATGCAGCTAGTTGAAGTAAATGTGTTCTGTGTTTCCTTTTACAACTGAGATCATAGATTGTTTAAAATTGATATGATGCGATTATTAAGCACGAGATTTCTTAGTCACTGACTACATCCTTTTGAATACTGTCCTCAACTGTTATACATGTAGTCCTCACTTTGCATGTCTCTGTTAACTTGAGTTTCAGTTACCACACTTTAGTTAAGTAACACTGCTCCCTCAACAACTAATGTATCAGTTACCATGATACATTAACCAAATTATTGTATAAAGTACAAACTTTGCTGAGAGCTTTTTAAGCCACAAATCACTGTGTAAATAAAAGAGGCACATCATGAGCAGTGACCAATCACATCATTTCTTTTAAAATCTTTCAGTAACTAGTCCATGTACAAGTATTACTCAGTTCATGAACAGACAGCAAAGTGAGTAGTAGTATCATCTCCTTGTCTCTCAGTGAATAAACCCATGTGATATTTTACAGAAATGGATAATTGAAAGAGGGAATTGGCCAATAAAAATGAAAGTGTAGCAAAGAAAGTAGTTAACGCTGGAAGTGACATGTGAGCCAAACGTAAATAGAAGAAACAGCTGACTGTGAGGATGTTGGCAGTGCTGCCGTTTGAGAGACCCTAGATACGTAGCCAGGTGAGCTTAGTGAAGGCGAACTTGAGGAAAGTCATTGTGACAAAAGGGATGAAGACCCAGAGGACTGATGCTGACAAAAATCTTCACATTAAAGGAACTCTCAGATATTTCATGACTGGAACTACAAAGGATAAAATATTGGAAGCTGATCCAAACTTAGAAGGGGGTATGATAATTCATCAAGGCTTAGAGAAGATGCTCACTCCATATTATAAGTTATACAATGAGAAGATGGCAAGGGCTGTTCAAACTACTCTTGATAAATCTTTTACAAAGAAAACGCTTTAATTCCCAATGTTTCTAATATATCCAATTATAGAATGCTGTATAAATATTAGTTTTACTATTTAAAAAAATTTCCCTATTCATTGTACCCAACAGAGTTTTTAATGTCCTGACAAAAATTTTAAAAGTCGTGGAACAGCTGTAATTTTCCCCATTGATTATTAAGATCTTGATGCAGTTTCAGCTTGCATCGTTATTTTTATGGTCCCACACTACTGTGCAAAGTGGGGACTACCTGTATCTGTGTCTGAGGAAAAACACTAGTTGTGAATTCAACAGTTTTGCTTTTGACGTCTTAAGATATTAAAGATTTTATAAGTAGTGAGGTACATTATAAAGCTCAAGATTTGTATCTGAAAGGTTAAACTGTTGAGAAGTCCCTTCTTCCTTCTCTCAACTGAAAAAAGCAAAACCTAATAATGTATTCCTTTTTTAGACCAACTGAGGAAGAAGCTGAGCAATTACTGCAGTTGATGACAAGCTGTCCTCCTGCCACACCAGCTGGGGTTCGCTTTGTTTCACTTTCCTTTTGTATGCTCCTGGCCTTTTCTACACTTGTCAGGTACCCAACTATATAACTGTACTATTTTCTCAAGGTCTGCTTTTGTTTATTTATTAAAACACATGTACAAAATTAATTAGGAGCTTACTACAAAATGGTCTAAGATAGGGACATTGGTATTATTTAATAAAAGGATATCAGTAGCATCTCCTGTATGCCAGTTATTTTATTTGCCTTTATCAAAGTTTCATGTACACATTGTTTAAAGGAGTCAAAAGAGTTCTTCAAGATTCGAGGCAAATTGTAGTCCTTATTCCCCACTCTCCCTGTTTCCCCTTCCCTAGAAGCAGCTTCTTTCAGTTCTTTCAGCTGATTCTTTTGGTTTTTACTACCGCATCTTTATTAACATGTTTGTATTCGCTACATCCTGATTTTTCGTTTTAGGAGTATTTGTTGACTTCCCACTATGAGAATAAGGAATTAGTTCTCTCTTTTCTCTCTGTCCTCAACATATCTACACATCCTTTCTATCTTTCCATTCTCCCAGTACAGTTATTATTTTGCTTTGACCAATACATAGTTGTTTATGTTACACTAGTGGAAGTGCAACCAAGCAGTAGATGATTACTTTTCTTTTGCAAAACTTGTTTCTCCATTAATAATTATCCTGTGTTTTTGTTCTTTGTTTTTCATTTGCTCTGTATTTTGTGTGCTTACATTAATGCAATCTCAAACACTCTGCCAATCTAAACCTCCTCTCAAGATGTTCAGACTCATTAGATATTCTGCCAGTTTCATTTTCTTGAGGAAATCTCTCCTGGAACATTTTGACCTCCCATCTGAACTGGCTACCTCTGCACCTGGTACACAGCTCTCATCTGGGAATTGCTCTTCACTATTATTTTGGGGACTTGCTTCAGCTGTCCTTTGTTGGGTCTTCTGTTTCCTGCATCTTATGTCTCCATCTTTTTACTTTTATTTATTTATTTATTTATTTATTTGGCTGTGCCGGGTCTTAGTTGAGGCAGTCGGGATCTTCCTTGTGGCATGCGATATCTTTAGTTGCAGCACGTGGGATCTTTAGTTGTGGCATGTGAGATCTTTTAGTTGCAGCATATGGGGTCTAGTTCCCTGACCAGGGATCGAACTGGGCCCCCTGCATTGGGAGCGTGGAGTCTTAACCACCGGATTACCAGGGAAGTCCCTCCCTCTTTTTTAATTTGCTCCCTCATTTTGCGTCTTTAGAATGGGTATGCGAGAGGTAAATTATTTTAAGACTGGGTATGTCTGAAAATGTCTTTATTCTGCTTTGACACTTGATTGATAGTTTGATGGGGTATAGAATTCTAAGTTGGAAATAATTCCCTTTGAGGATTTTGAAAGTCTTGCTCTATTGTCTTCTAACTTCCAATGTTACTGTTGAGAAATCTGATGACATTCTGTTTCCTGGTCCTTTTTGCGGCTTGTTCTTTTTAAATATGGAGTCATGTAGGATTAGCCTTTTGTCCCTAGGATTTCTTGTTTTGTTTTGTTTTGTTCTGTTTTGCGGTACGCGGGCCTCTCACTGTTGTGGCCTCTCCCACTGCGGAGCACAGGCTCCGGACGCGCAGGCCCAGCGGCCATGGCCCACGGGCCCAGCTGCTCCGTGGCACGTGGGATCCTCCCGGACCGGGGCACAAACCCGCGTCCCCTGCATCGGCAGGCGGACTCTCAACCACTGCGCCACCGGGGAAGCCCTGTTTCTTTTTTATACTGTCTACTGCTTCATCATGGCATGGTTTCTCTGATATTAATCAAAATGATTGAAGGGGTTTTATTTGTTCTGTTTCTTTTCTCTAAGTTTCTTTTTTTCTGCCTTTTTTTGTTCTATATTTTTCAAGTTAGAAGCTTTTTTTCAGGTTTGGTAATTCTTGATTGTCTGTTCATATTTAAGAGTGGGAAACTAAAAAGCAGGTTAGAACTTCTGAATGCATAGATGGGAAACTCTTGGGCTTTTCAGAGTCTTAGAGAAGACTGTTGTCTTGCTTGGGGAGTGGAGGCCTATAAATAAAGTGAGGGTTAAGGGCTGGGATGTCTCAGACTGCAGTATAAGCATTCACATAATTCTTCTACTTTCAGAAAGGTGCTCTAGATATCCCTGATTGTCCGTCAGTTCAGAGACACCCTTTTTTACTATATCCAGAGAATAGATCTCTAGTCTTCTCCTCTCTACTGGGGGATGGGTATTCATCTAGGTGTGTAGAATGGAGGTGATTTGGAGGTCTACTGCTCATACAGACTGTCGATATTTAGTCTCTGTCTTCATTCTCACTCCCAGAACTGCCTGGAGTTGTCAGTTTCTGAGGCCTTTGGGGATTCTGTGGTGTAAGTGGCAGATTGGTTTTCCCACCTGTCAGTTTAGTGTTCTGCTTTCTCGGGTCTGCTAGGTCAGTTATCACTCATCTGTGTTGGCTCTGTCTTCCAGTATTTTGTGTTGTTGTCCCTCATCATCATCCTATGCATTTATGCCTTTTAAGAAAATCCCTTTAATGTAGTTGGAATTGTGTGTTTCAGGAAGGTATGAAATTAAGTATGTGAAATGAAGTACTTTCTTTTCTCTTTACCTGAAGTAGTTTCTTGCTTTCTTTAAAAATTTATTTTATTAAATTATAGTTGATTTACAATGTTGTGTTAGTTTCTGGTGTATAGCAAAGTGATTCAGTTTTATATATATATATATATAAAACCTGAAGTAATTTCTAAGCATTGTCTGTAATCCTCATTACTTCTGTAAGGTGGGTATTTTTATCTTTATATTATACGTAGGAGAGCTAAAGTTCAAAAAGATTATTTAAATTTCTTGTTCAGGGTCACACTAACAGTGATTAGCAGAGATGGGATTCCCACTCAGATCTGGCAGGCTCTAAAGCTGTAATCTTTCTACTACATAATACTGTCTTTTATTAGAGGAATGATTTAGGTGTGGTTGAGAGTGACCTTTTTACTTTTCTTAGCTTTGGGTAGCAGGCTTTGTAGTTGCTTTTCGTTTTACCTGTTTACACTGCAATGAAGTAGAAGGAGATCAATGAAAATTATTTTTACAAATCAAAATTATTCCCTTTAAACAAGTCATTCTTGTTGGTGTGTTTTTATAACCATTTTTCATATCTGATGAGCCCCTGGCTGTTTCTTTTTACTTTTGAATAGTGATCACTTTTTTCTCTGTCATTTTGAGTTCTGCTCAAAATGCTTCTATAAACTAAATTTCATTTTCCAGGTAAAAGATGGTCTGAGTTATTACTGTCCTTGTACTCAGTTTGTGACTTTTTGATGATTAAGTTTTAACACTAGATTTTTTTCTATATGAAATAAGTATCAGCTGTTAGTATGTACAGTTATCCTAACATTTTAATCCCAAAGGACCTTTGTTTTTCCAAGGAATGTGAGGACATTTACTCTCTCCAACCTTCAAATGCAGTAACTGAGACTTTGAGAGGGTTTGACTATTCATATGCATAGAGAAAAGTAAAGGTTCTCATTCTTCTTCTGTAGAGCTGCTTCATATCTCAATGACAATTAATGTCCAATTCAACAAGCCATTATTTTGAGGAAAAAATAATTTCTACCAAAAATAATTCCAGAATGATCTTTTATTCTTATGCTAGTATATCTGACTTAAACCAGTGACTTCTGATATGTTTTATATAGTACGCCTGAACAGGAGCAGCTAATGGTAGTGTGGCTAAGTTGGATGATAAAAGAAGAAGCTTATTTTGAAAGGTAAGATGACTTTTTGTTTCAGTTAGCTGAGTAAGTTTTTCTTATCCCTTTCTTTGGAAATTCATATTTTCTTTTCTGTTTCAACAGTACTTCAGGCGTCTCTGCTTCTTTTGGGGAGATGTTATTGTTGGTTGCTATGTACTTTCATAGCAACCAACTTAGTGCTATCATTGACTTGGTCTGTTCTACTTTGGGGATGAAGGTAATTTCCTTTTATCTTCTTTCTAAAGACAGTGTTTCTAAGCTGGACATTTTCTTGTAATGTTAAGTAAATAGATTGTTTTCATTTTGAAATAATTTTAGTTGTTTAATAGTTTGAAACTATCAAGAGCTCTTAGGAAAAAATACATTATGAAAACACTATTCACAAGAATAATAGGTGTTCTATGTAGAAAACTTAGAAAACACAATAAAGAAGGGAAAGATATAATTCCATGTTCAGAGATATCAGGTACTGTTAATAGTCTGGTATCTGTTCTTTCTTTAAATTGATATACATACTTTGTAATTTTAATGAATTTACCAATATATGATGAGCACTTCCTCATATCCATAAATATTCTAATACAATATAATTTTTTTTTTTTTGCGGTACGTGGGCCTCTCACTGTTGTGGCTTCTCCCGTTGCGGAGTACAGGCTCCGGACACGCAGGCTCAGTGGCCATGGCTTATGGGCCCAGCCGCTCTGCGGCATGTGGGATCTTCCCGGACTGGGGCACAAACCCGTGTCCCCTGCATCGGCAGGCAGACTCTCAACCACTACGCCACCAGGGAAGCCCTAATTTTTAATGGCTGCATTGTAGTTCATCATATGGACCGATCATGATATTCTTAATGGATCTTTTCTTATTTGCCATGTAGATTTTCCAGTTTCTGAATAATGCTTAGATGAATATCCTTATGTATGTAAATATATGCACAGGCACTCATACATCTATATCTTCAAACACTTTTTGGATTATTAGGATGAAGTTCTAGAAAGCAGTACTAAGTAGAAGTATGGTGATGTTAAGCTGTTTAATGTGTATTGCCATATTATCTTCCAGAGAGATTATACCAGTTTAACTGTTGTCATTAGTGAATGAGAGTGCCTATTTTCCTAAACTCTCACGATCACTGGGCATTACCATTCTTTTTAATCTTTGCAAATACGGTGAAAAATCGTCTTACTTATTTTGCATTTCTTTGATTACTAGTAAAACTATGGTTATTATTTTTTATAGTTACAGTTTATAGAGAAGTTTTTTTGGGTAGTTTTAAAAAATCTATGTGTTTTAGCTGGTTTATTTCTTTTGTGAAAGGCTTATTGACGTCCCAGTTTTTCTATAGGGATTTTTATTGATTTATTTTTCCTTTTACTGATTCAGAAGGGCTCTTTATATGTAAATGATATGCTCTTATGCCTTATATAGCATATTGGGTTGGCCAAAAAGTTCCTTCGGGATTTTCTATAACATCTTATGGAAAAACCCAAAGGAACTTTTTGGCCAACCCAATATTTCGTTGATTTCAAGACATATTTTACCCAATATTGAAACTGGGATTCATTTTACAGTTGATGTGTAATGTTAATGTGGTAGTGTTTCACCTCTTTTTTTCTTGAAAAGCTACTATTAAATCTGTGGTGCATCTTATAATCCTTATTGTCTTTAAAAGTGGAGAAGTACAGGGCTTCCCTGGTGGTGCAGTGGTTGAGAGTCCGCCTGCCGATGCAGGGGACGCGGGTTCTTGCCCCAGCCCGGGAAGATCCCACATGCCGCGGAGCGGCTGGGCCCATGAGCCATGGCCCCTGAGCCTGCGCGTCCGGAGCCTGTGCTCCGCAACGGGAGAGGCCACAACAGTGAGAGGCCTGCATACCGCAAAAAAAAAAACAAAACAAAAAAAGTGGAGAAGTACAATATAATATGTCGCAGTTGATTTTTCCCAGTCTTTTTTGCCATGTGAAAATTATTATTTTCAATGTGTGCAATACATTAAATATTTCTTTTGTGGTTCTTTGTTTTTCTGCTTAGAAATGTTTTTCTTTCCTTAGGTTTATAGAAACGGTCACCTATATTTTCTTCTAGTGTTTTTGTGGCCTCATGTTTTAAATTTAAATTTTTAATACATTTGGAGTTGATTTTGGGTATGGTGTCATGTGCAAATCTTTATAGGTATTATCCAGAAAGATAGCTATCCTACCTCCATTTATTGAATAATCCACTTCTTCCCACTGACTTGAAATGCCAATAATGGTATGTTTACTAAGTACTTTTATATGTTGGTTCAGTTTCTGAGGAAAACCACACTTTAATGTTGGGTTTGAGAAGCTACTTCTGAAATAGAGTATTTGAACATTAATTTTATATATCACAGTCATTTTAGATAATAAATTTACCAGAGAAAATTGTGCTTTATATATTTTATTTTCACATGCTGTTGAAATTCTTTTGATTGTTTTAGATTGTAATTAAGCCAAGCTCCTTGAGCAGGATGAAGACTATCTTCACACAGGAAATTTTTACTGAGCAGGTACTTCTTTTAACTTTATTCTTAGGTACTTCTTTAACTTTCTTTTACAACATTCTTTGGGGAAAAACTTGTATGTTTCAGTTTAGGAGCATTATATAGTTTTTTTATTCCTTTTTAGTTTCCAGTGATGATTTATTTAATCTTAGAAACTTCTGTAAAGAATAATCCTATTTAAAATTTACTTTTAAAGCTATTTACTAATACAGAAGCATGTAATAAATAAATTTACATATTTTGGAGACTTTGAATAGATACTTAAGAATATAGTCTTAGATATTGATGGTAGCTCACATAGGGTAATCAACTGGTATTGTCAGGAGAAAAATAACATAGAAACCTCTTTAAACCTTTTCAGCTGTGAGGTACATGTCTAACTAGATGATAAGCTAGAGTCTAAATTTCTTATTCTAGTATTTACCTGTTCTTATTTAGTTTCAGCACTTTTGTCCATGGGTAATCCTAATGATATTTTATTTTTCCAGTGATGGAGACTATTCTTTTTTTTTTTTTTTTTTTAAAAATTGAATTATAGGTGATTTACAATATTGTGTTAGTTTTAGATATATAGGAAATGATATGGTTATACATATATATGTGTATATATCTATATTCTTTTTTAAATTCTTTTCCATTATAGTTCATTACAATATATTGAATATAGCTTTCTGTGCTATACAGTAAATCCTTATTGTTTATCTGTTTTATATATGATACTGTGTATCTGTTAATCCTATACTCTCAATTTATCCCTCCCCATCCTTCCCCTTTGGTAATCATAAGTTTGTTTTCTATGTCTATGAGTCTGTTTCTATTTTGTAAATAAGTTCATTTGTACTGTTTTTCAGATTCCACATATAAGTGGTATCATACAATATTTTTCTTTCTCTAACTTACTTCACTTAGTTTGATAATCTCTAGGTCATTCCATGTTGATAAAAATGGCATTATTTCATTCTTTTTTATGGCAGAGTAATATTCCATCACACACACACACACACACACACACACACACACACACACACACACCATTCATCTGTTAATGGACACTTAGGTCACTTCCGTGTCTTGGCTATTGTAAATAGTGTTGCCATGAACATTGGGGTGCGTGTATCTTTTTGAATTAGGGTTTTTGTCTTTGACGGAGACTATGCTAAAATTTAAAATTAATTCCTGGGACTTCCTTGGTGGCGTGGTGGTTAAGAATCCGCCTGCCGATGCAGGGGACACAGGTTCGATCCCTGGTGCAGGAAGATCCCACGTGCTGCAGAGCAACTAAGCCCATGCACCACAGCTTCTGAGCCTGTGCTCTGGAGCCTGCAAGCCACAACTACTGAAGCTCACGTGCCTAGAGCCCCTGCTCTGCAATTAGAGAAGCCACTGCAATGAGAAGCCCATGCACCACGACGAAGACCCAACGCAGCCAAAAATAAATAAATAATTTAATTAGTTAAAAAAAATAAATAAAATTAGTTGCCAGGTTCATTTATCGATTTAAATCTCATAATACAAAAATATGTATATCTTAAAAAATGAAATATTTGAAAATACTCATAGATCTGTAATTCTTGCTTCTTTTTTTTTTTTTTTTGGCGGTACGTGGGCCTCTCACTGTTGTGGCCTCTCCTGTTGCAAAGCACAGGTTCCGGACGTGCAGGCTCAGCGGCCATGGCTCACGGGCCTAGCTGCCCCACGGCATGTGGGATCTTCCCCGACCGGGGCACGCGGACTCTCAACCACTGTGCCACCAGGGAAGCCCAATTCTTGCTTCTTTTAGTTTAATTAATGTTCTCGGGAATTCCCTGGCAGTCCACTGGTTAGGTCTCTGCCTTTTCACTGCCAAGGGCGTGGGTTCAATCCCTGGTCAGGGAACTAAGATCATGCAAGCTGCGTGGTGCAGCCAAAAAAAAAAAATTCTCATTCCTTTACCAAACTCTGCCTTCTCCCATCAATGCACATACACTCCCACATAACAGTCACACATAGGATGTAGGAGACTCATAAGTTATTTTTCATGTGTTTAGTTTGAACTAACTGGAAGACACCTTTGGGGAGGGTGTCTGAAAGACAATTAGTGGTCTGTGCATGACACAATGAGAATAACAATAAAAATTCCTGTTTATATTTATGTGATACTTTATAAGTCACATATATTTTTCCAAAGAAATTTATTTCCCTCTCGCAAAAACCTTTTGAAGCAAGTAAGACAATATTGTCTCGTTTTGTAGATGTGAAAATAGACTCAGAAGATAAAATGACTTAGCTAAAGTCATTGACCCCAGATTTTATGATTCCAAATTTTATATATTTTTTAATCTTACTCTAACCCCCATCAACATATCTGTGTTCAGAAGCAAATTTTAAAATGTAGAGAACTTTACAAATACCTAAATGTATGATGCTACCTCATCACTCAAAAATAATTAAATCACGTAATAATTGGTTTTTATCATTCCTTCCTGAGGACCACATTTGTATTAAGTTTTGACAGTCTACCTGGCTAATCCTCCCTCTTTCAGAATAATTTTATATTTGGTTCTGTCATATGTATTAATACTATTTTTCCCTTTTAGGTTGTCACAGCTCATGCAGTTCGTGTCCCGGTCACCAGCAACCTGAGTGCCAACATTACTGGATTTTTGCCTATTCATTGTATTTACCAGCTTCTGAGGAGTCGTTCCTTTACAAAGCACAAAGTATCAATAAAAGTATGACCTAACATTTATATTTCAAGCTACAACCTAAGTTAATGCTTTCTTCCCAGTTCCGTTTCAATTTGTAGACCTTTGCTGTGGGTTTTGTGTGTGAAGTGTGTCTAGTTACTTGTCGTTTATATAGTTATAGTAAATAGGCTCTCAATTTCAGATTTTTTTTAAAAATTTTTTTTTGCGGTACGTGGGCCTCTCACTATTGTGGCCTCTCCCATTGCGGAGCACAGGCTTCAGACGCGCAGGCTCAGCGGCCATGGCTCACGGGCCCAGCCGCTCCGCGGCATGTGGGATCTTACTGGACCGGGGCACGAACCCGTGTCCCCTGCATCGGCAGGTGGACTCTCAACCACTGCGCCACCAGGGAAGCCCAATTTCAGATTTTTAAAACAGTATAACTGTTCAGTTATTTACAAAATGTACACTAGTACCTTTTAAATTCTCAGTAATATCGTTTAGCTATTTCATTAAACCTTAGTAAAAATTGCCGTTTTCTGTACTTGGTTTTGTTCACCAAACTGAGAAAGTTGCTGGTTAGCCATGGCCAGTATTCGTACATTTGTCATAAGGACATCTAACATCTAACTTGAACATATTTTTGATATGTTTTCAATTTGTTATGTAGTTGGCTATACCAAACAGTTAAAAGGTCCTCTAAAGAAAAGGCTGAACCCCAGGAGGTAAAAGAAATCTGTTTGGACCATTTCTAAGAGGCAATTTTATTTATAAAGAACCATGAACAATATATACATTGATATATCACATTTAATTATCCTTATTATCATGATTTAGTGAAGTTATTTTCCATCTTGATTGTATCGTCTGCTTCTTTATATTTTTAGCAATATAATAGATAAGAATTACGAGTCCAAATGCCCACCCAGCATATCTTCTTGGCCTCTATTTGTGTAGATAGTTAATCTCCCATAAGTGGTTGTCAGAGTCACTTTCTTAATCTGTCTGAGGGTTTGTTGTGAAGAGCTGTCCCTCTCGCTAAATTTCTTTCTGTTGTGGGGTCTTCTACAGCAACACATATGGTGCTCTAAAGACTGATATAGAAGGGACTTAACAGTGTTTTTCCCACTACTTGAAAACTAATAGATTAAAAACCCGAAGTCCAAACTCAAAACTCATCATTTTAGATTTATCTTCCACTTCACGGTATTCTCAACTTTAGGGTATAAAAGTATTTCCTATTTTTAAATCAAAGACAACTGTGAAACTGGATAATAACTGCTAAAAGTTAATAGTTTCACTGATTCATAAATCATGTAAAATTATATGTGCTTTTAAAATTTTGCTTGCCTTTTCTTATTGCCATAATTGATTTGGTGCCTGCAACCTTCTTTTTTAGGACTGGATTTATAGACAGCTCTGTGAAACCTCCACTCCACTCCATCCTCAACTACTTCCTCTGATTGACGTGTACATAAATTCTATACTTACTCCTGCATCTAAATCTAATCCAGAAGCCACAAATCAGCCAGTCACAGAACAGGAGATACTCAATATTTTCCAAGGAGTCATTGGGGTAAAATAGTGGCTTTTCTACATTTATTAGCTTATTTTTCTTTTATTCTTTGGACTGACTCCATGTTTTTTCCCTGATTATTAGAGGAGAACAACTTCTAGGTGGTTCTGAATTTAAGATGGTATTCAGTTTTTTTAGATTACTTATTAAAAGAATGGTATTAGCTCCAAGTAGTTTGTTGAATAGGCACTTTTTGAGGAATTCTTTCAAGAGCCCCATTTTCCTTTTGTTTTTTTTTGGCCGCGCTGTGCCCCTTGCATTGGGAGTATGGAGTCTTAACAACTGGACCTCCAGGGAAGTCCCAGGAGCTCCATTTTAAAGCTTAAGGAGTGCTGTGGAAGTTGTGTGTTTACCAATGGACTACATGACATTTCCACACATTCAACCAGCTTTATTTAGTTTCCTGGGGATCTAAGATCTACCTAGACTATTAATGGAAAACTTGAAGAAAATCTTTTTTCTCCAAATATACTTAACTGTCCAATATCATTTTTAGGAATTATTTTCTTCGTGGTAATTTCAGATAATACTTGAGATTCCTGTAAAGCTTTTTGAGAAGCAGCCTGATGGGGCTGCTGTTGCCTTTTTTTCCCTATCTTCTTTTTTTTGTGGTACGTGGGCCTCTCACTATTGTGGCCTCTCCCGTTGCGGAGCACAGTCTCTGGACGTGCAGGCGCAGCGGCCATGGCTCATGGGCCCAGCTGCTCCACGGCATGTGGGATCTTCCCGGACCGGGGCACGAACCCGTGTCCCTTGCATCGGCAGGCGGACTCTCAAACACTGTGCCACCAGGGAAGCCCTATCTTCTTTTTTTTTTTTAAAAACAGTAACTTTAAAAAAAATTTATTTATTTTTGGCTGTGTTGGGTCTTTGTTGCTTTCTCTAGTTGCAGTGCGCGGGGGCTACTCTTCGTTGCGGTGCATGGGCTTCTCATTGCGGTGGCTTCTCTTGTTGCTGAGCACGGGCTCTAGGGCGCGCGGGCTCAGTAGTTGTGACACGTGGGCTCAGTAGTTGTGGTGCACGGGCTTAGTTGCTCCACGACATGTGGGATCGTCCCGGACCAGGGTTCGAACCCATGTCCCCTGCATTGGCAGGTGGATTCTTAACTACCGCACCACCAGGGAAGCCCCTTCCTATCTTAAAAACTGTTAAGCATGTTGCTTTTCATCTCCCAAGCCATCTCAAATTTAACTTAGACTTCACATTGTCTCTTTGAGTTTAATGCGAACACAGCAACACTTCTCCCAACTTGTTCGAGCTTGGGAGCAGCAACACTGAATAATCTATTTTGAATGCTTTTGCTATCAAAAAGCACTCATGAAATTTAACAGTATTTTAAAGTATTTATAATATTACCTCCAGGGTGACAACATCCGCCTTAATCAGCGTTTCAGTATCACAGCACAGCTTTTGGTGCTTTATTATACACTGTCTTACGAAGAAGCTCTCCTAGCAAACACAAAGACTTTAGGTAAGTTGTGCATAGGCGAATGTTTCTAGTGATAGTTCATCTTATTTGCTTATATTTTGTTACTCTCTAGGCTGCTGTATGAGAAAATAAGGTCAAATATTCTAGCAAGCTCCAGCATCATTCTGCAGTCTTCGCAATGGAGGCATTGTGTACTCTGATGCATAAATACACGCATGTGTGGGCATATAACCACCTCTTAAGGCTCAGTGCTGCTTTTAGCGGGCTGAATTAACGGGTAACTGAATTGTTTGTATTTTAACAATTTTAGTGACCTTACTAACTAAATGTAAATTAAGAGATAAACCTAAAGGAACTGCAACTGAAATATTTTTACTTGATTTCAATCTGTGCCCTATTCTTCCTTCCATTAGTGTGAAGAGTAACAGTCTAATCAAAGCAGTAGAAAAAAACCAGTAGTAGGTTTTCCTTTGCCATTGAAATTATCACTGAACTAGGCTTTCAGACTTAGCTATTTCATATAATATCAGAAGGTTAGATTTAGCATAAATGATATCACTATAAAGTAGTACGTTTTCCTCTATTTGAAAAAGAATATTCACCTGTATTTTAGGCTTGTTAAATATATTTAGTTCCATATTTGAAACACAAAGAGTGTCATTAAAAAGTCGTAGGCATTGAGTATATAATGCAGGGAGAATTCTTTTAAGGGAGGTTAATATGTCATAGCTGAGTGGTTTTACTTTTTGAAAGTTATAAATTAAAGTTACTCTTCAGTGTGTGGCAGACCAGTTTCTTTTATTTTTCCGAAGTATTGTGTTTTAAGTATTCTGTGCATTTCTCGGCTGCTTTCTTTTCTGACTACAGGTGTCAGGGTTGTACAGATGATACACCACAACTGTAATTATAGCCTTTGTCACATCAGGGACAAGATGGGCTAATAATAAGCATTAGGGGGCTCCCACTTTTATCCACATGTAATGAATTCTTTTAAGGAATATGACCCTTGTGATTTAATGGATAGTAGGGGAATGAGTTACGAGGAGGTATTCTGGGGAGAACTCTGACCGTTAATATTGTAGCAGGGGACTAAGATACACCCTTAGTTTTTGTTTAAATTAATGTCTAGCAAAAAAAAATCTTAATACAGAAAAGTACAGAGACTAGTGTAGCCAACTTTGTGTATATACCATGCAGAATTAACAGGTCACTCAGAATTTTTTGGACTGGAAGGACCTTTAAAGATTATGTATCCCAGTCCCCAATGACATGCTCAGTTCAACCCTGGTTCGTGTGAAGCTGCTGTTCTTTATGCAATAGTCTGATGGATCTTAATTGGAAAGTTAAGGATTTTAGGTTAGGAGTACAACCCAGCCTGGATTGAGTCTTGGAAAAGGAACTGGGAGATTAGAGGAAAGTTGTTAGGTTTTTCTAAGATTCTAGGCAAAAGATGGTGGTGGTCTGGACTGGTAGCAGTGTATATGTATTTTTTTCTTTTTTTTTTTTTTTTGGCTGTGCTGGGTCTTCATTACTGCGTGCAGGCTTTTCCCTAGTTGTGGCGAGAGGGGACTACTCTTCGTTGTGGTGCACTGGCTTCTCATTGTGGTGGCTTCTCTTGTTGTGGAGCATGGGCTCTAGGCACGCGGGCTTCAGTAGTTGTGGCGTGTGGGCTCAGTAGTTGTGGTTCGTGGGCTCTAGATCGCAGGCTCAGTAATGGTGCAGGGGCTTAGTTGCTCTGTGGCATGTGCGATCTTCCTGGACCAGGGATCGAACCGTGTCCCCTGCATTGGCAGGCAGATTCTTAACCATTGCACCACCAGGGAAGTCCCTGTATATGTATTTTGAGGGTAGAGCTGAGAGGTTTTGCTGATGGATTCATGAGGTTTGAGAGACAGGAGCCAAGGTTGATGTGGAGGCTTTTGGCCTAACCTATAAAATGGCTATGGACTGAAATAAATGAGCAGGTATGTGGGGGATCAGGAGCTCGTTTTGGACCTATGGAGTTTGAGATGTCTGATAGACTTTCAAGTGGGGATGTTATGGAAACAGTTGTAAATACTGGCTTAGAATTTAGGGGAGATACCAGCACTGAAGCTTTGAGATTCTTCAGCATATATATGGTATTTAAAATCATGACATTAAGTAAGATTACCAAACGGGAAGGTGTAGGAGGAGACTCAGGAGGATGTGTTGTCCTGGATGCCAAGGAAAGAATGTTTCAAAGAGGAGAGAGAGATCACCTGTGTAAAATGATGTTGATGGATCAAGTAAGGTTAGGACTCAGCTGATGACCGCATATAGCTTGCTGGAGGTCCTTTGACCTTTACAGTTTTATTAGTAAAGTGAACACTTGTTTTTAGGATGAAAGCCTGATTGTAGTGGATTCAAAAGAAAATTAGAGGAGATATACTGGAGACAGTGCGTACAGACAGTTCTTTTGAGGAATTGTAAAGAGAAGGAGAGAAATGAATGTGATCATTGGAGAGGAAAATGAGGTCAGGAGAGGACTTTTTTTTTAAGGTGAAAGAGCTAAGAGAATGTTTGTATTCTGTTGGGAGTAATCTAGTAGAGAGGGAAGGCTGATGAGAGAATCCCTGGAGGGATGTCCTTGATAAGTGAGAGGAGATGGGATGTAGAAGACAGATGGAGGGATCAACCTTTCCTTGGAGAATTTTTTCCCATAGTTCAGGAGATTTTTTTCTAGTCTAGTTTCTTATCTCCACAGGGAATAAATAATTGGAGAATATGTCACAACATGAGAGAATTTTGCTTTTCCACAGCCAAAAAAGATAAGTATTCTTCCTCAAATTTATTCGTACCTGTGAAGTTGTGTTGTAGTTTCAGTAGCTTGTTAACTGGTCTGTGGTTTTGGCCTTTATATTAAACATTATTAGCAGCCACCAGGTAGCTGTAGAAGCTCAAATATGGAATTCTGACACTTGAGATAGAGCCAAGTATTAGAATATCATAGTCATTAAAAAATGGGTTTGTATACATACATATTTTTTCACATATGCATATTTTTGATTTGTTTTAAAATATTTATAATACATGTGTATATATTAATTTTAGTTAAATAGTGTATTGATCCAAAAGAATATGTGTAAGAAATAATAATATAATAAATCCCTGTGTACTAATACCCAATTAAAATATGAGCATTACCATTATATTTCCAGTTTTTATACTTAAAAGTGTTTCCTATTTATTACATCTGAAGACTTTATTACTAGGTAAAAGTTTGTTTTTACATGCTTTTGAAGTAAAAACAATACTAATGAATATTGAACATATGAGAAACTGTTTATCTGCTCTTAAAGCAGCCAGTGGGATCCTAAACACAGTCTCACTCTTAAGTAGCTAAAAGTATTACTTGCTTAACTCTCTCCCTCAAGCTTAACTTCATTTAAAAACAGGGTCTGGCTGCCTTTTCTGCTTCTGTCCCGTTTCGTGTGAAGTTTCCTCCTTTGTCAGCAGCAGAACAAGACACATACTGTGGTATTTGGGAAACTGTAATGTTTACTGCCTCTGAATTCCTGAACTTGAAGTTTTTCTTTGCACTCGATAGTTAATTATTTTCTTCCTAGAAGAAAGTTAACTCTAACCGCCTCTATCAAAATGCAGAAACCTTTAAGCAAACACTGGCAGATGTTTTTTCTTGGCAGCTTGAAGTTTCAGTGCTGTAAAATCAAGTTTGACCAAAAAAGGTTCGAAGAGTTAAATGATTGTAGTGTAGAGTAACCGTATAAGAATTTTAAACTTATTTCATTATTTACCTGATTGCTTTCATATCTTAATGCAAAAGAACTGGCTTTTAAAATAAAAACATTTATTAAAAGTGTGTTTACTGGAGGAAATTGAGGAAGTGAAAAATGTACAAAGACCGAAGTAAAACCCATAATTCTGCTGCCCAGAGGTAATCACCATAGAATTTTGCTAGAAAACCCTTTAGTCTTTGCACATATGATAACATATGATAACTTTCACAAAGTTGGAATCATATGTTTTTAATCTACCCTTTTAATTATTTATTTATTTTTTTTGCGGTACGGGGGCCTCTCACTGTTGTGGCCTCTCCCGTTGTGGAGCACAGGCTCCGGACGCGCAGGCTCAGCGGCCATGGCTCGCGGGCCCAGCCGCTCCGCGGCATGTGGGATCTTCCCAGACCGGGGCACGAACCTGTGTCCCCTGCATTGGCAGGCGGACTCTCAACCACTGCGCCACCAGGGAAACCCCAGATTTGAATCTTTGATAAGCGACACGTTGGGAGAAAATTGGAAGTGTGATTGCTCATGTTGAATATATAAAACCAATGATCTTCCCATAGGCCTTTCATAATTATAGTTTAGTCTTTTACTGGAAGATTAAGTATCCTTGATGTTGTATTTCACAGAGATGTTAAAGAGAAATAATTGCTTTAGGTAGGGCTTCATGGGCTGCTAGTTCTTTGATGGAATTATTAAGATGTGAACAGGATTTTGTCTTCAGTTTCATAGGTCCAGAAACTTAAATGTTGATACTTTACCCTAAGTTGATCTTGGGGACTGTAGATCTTAATAATACTGGCAAACATTTGAGTGCTTGTTATGTGCCAAACACTATTTGAAGCTCTTTACACCTGTTAACTCATGTAAACCCTCACAACAATTCTGTGAGATAGGTACTGTTGTCTTTATATTACAGGTGAGAACACTGAGGCACAGGGAAGTTAAGTGACTTCCCTTAGTTGTAAGTGTTGGAACCAGGATTTGACCATCACTGGAACTTATATATATTTAATATTAATCCGTTTTTATTATTCAAAATTATCTTTACTAATAATCTGTCTTTAGCATTTTGCCTAGTTATAATCAATCTATTTATCTTAATACCATTTTATATTCCATTTTTCCTCTTTAATGTTATTTTGTACAAACAGTAATATTATTTTATATCCATCAAGATGGGCCACAGAGTTGTGGTTTCAAATTGGTTTTTAGTATTGAATTTCTTTTTTCTTTCTTTTCTTTTTTCTCTTTTTTACCTTTTGACGCTCTTCCCCTATTTCTTTTACCCCTCATCCCCTGCTCCTCTGGCAGCCACCAATTATTTCTCTGTATCTTTGAAGGTTTTTTTGTTTTTGTTTTTTTATGATTCCACATATAAAAGAGATCATATGGTATTTGTCTTTCTCTGTCTGACTTATTTTACTTAGCATTATGCCCTCCAGTTCCACCCATGTTGTCACAAATGGCAAAGTTTCATTCTTTTTTATGGCTGAATAACGTTCTATTGTATGTATATGTGTGTGTGTGTGTGTGTGTGTGTGTGTGTGTATGTATCTCATATTTTCTTTATCCATTCATCCATTGATGGACACTTAGATTGTTTCTATATCTTGGCTATTGTAAATAATATGGCAGTGAACATGTGGGTATATATAATCTATTCAAGTTAGTGTTTTCATTTTCTTCAGATAAATACCTAGATGGGAAATTGCTGGATCATATGGTAGTTCTATTTTTAATTTTTCGAGTAACCTCATACTGTTTTCTTTCTTTTAATTAATTAATTAATTTTTTATTTATTTGTTTTTGGCTGCATTGGCTCTTCATTGCTGTGTACGGGCTTTCTCTAGTTACTGCAAGCAGGGGCTACTCTTCGTTGCAGTGTGCGGGCTTCTCATTGTGGTGGCTTCTCTTGTTGTGGAGCACGGGCTGTAGGCGTATGGGCTTTAGTAGTTGCGGCATGCAGGCTCAGTAGTTGCGGCACACGGGCCCTAGAGCACGTGGGCTTCAGTAGTTGTGGTGTGTGGGCTCAGTAGTTGTGGTGTGTGGGCTTTAGGGTGCGTGGGCTTCAGTAGTTGTGGCTCACGGACTTAGTTGTGCCACGGCATGTGGGATCTTCCCGGACCAGGAATTGAGCCCGTGTCCCCTGCATTGGCAGGTGGATTTTTAACCACTGCACCACCAGGGAAGTCCTTCCATACTGTTTTTTGTAGTGGCTCCACCAATTTACATTCCTACCAGTAGTGCACAAGTGTTTCCTTTTGTCCTTATCTTCATCAACACTTGTTTATTGTCTTTTTGATAATATTCCTTCCAACAGGTATGAGGTGATAGCTCATTGTGGTTTTGATTTCCATTTCCCTGATGATTAGTGACGTTGAGCATCTTTTCATGTACCTGTTGTACCTCTGTATGTCTTCTTTGGGAAAATGTCTATTCAGATCTTCTGCCCATTTATTAAAAATTTATTTATTTTTAATTTATTATTTATTTTTGGCTGCATTGTGTCTTCGTTGCTGTGTGTGGGCTTTCTCTAGTTGCGGTGAGCGGGGGCTACTCTTCTTTGCAGTGCATGTGCTTCTCATTGTGGTGGCTTCTCTTGTTGCAGAGCATGGGCTCTAGGCGTGCAGGCTTCAGTAGTTGTGGCAGGCAGGCTCAGTAGTTGTGGCTTGCGGGCACTAGAGTGCAGGCTCAGTAGTTGTGGCGCATGGGCTTTGTTGCTCCACAGCATGTGGGATCTTCCCGGACCAGGGATCAAACTGTGTCCCCTGCATTGGCAGGCGGATTCTTAAGCACTGTGCCACCAGGGAAGTCCCCTTCTGCCCATTTTTAAATTGGATTGTTTGGTTTTTTGCTCTTGAGTTATTAAATATATTTTGCATATTAGCCCCGTATCAGATATATGATTTGCAAATATTTTCTCCCGTTTAGTAGGTTGCCTTTTCATTTTATTGATGGTTTCCTTTGCTGTTCTGAAGCTTTGTAGTTTGCAGTAGTCCCACTTGTTTATTTTGCTTTTGTTGGTTTTGCTTTTGGTGTCAGATTCAAAAAAATCAGCCAAGACCTGTGTCCTGGAGCTTAACACCTGTGTTTTCTTCTGAGAGTTATATGGTTTCCGGTCTTAGGTTCAAGTCTTTAATCCATTTTGAGTTCATTTTTGTGTGTGGTGTAAGATAGTGGTCTAGTTTCATCTTTTTTCATGTATTTTTATCTTCAATTTCTTTCATTAATGTCTTGTAGTTTTCAATATATAGGTCTTTCACCTCCTTGATTACATTTATTCGTAGGTGTTTTATTCTTTTTGATGCAGTTGTAAATGGGGTTGATTTCTTTTTTTTTTTTAACATCTGTATTGGAGTATAATTGCTTTACAGTGGTGTGTTAGTTTCTGCTCTATAACAAAGTGAATCAGCTATACGTATACATATATCCCCAAATGGGGTTGATTTCTTAATTTCTCTTTCTGATTGTTTGTTATTGGTGTATTAGAAACACAACAGATTTTTGTGTATTGATTTTATATCTTGCAACTTTACTGAATTTGTTTATTAATTTTAACAGGTTTTTTCTATCTTTTTTTAAAATTTTTGTTACCTTTATGGAACTTTGACATCCAGAAAAGCCTCCTCAGCCACTCATTTACCAACCAACTCTACTTTACTCTTTAGGAAATTATTTGGTTCTGGCACAAAGCCATGTACCCTAAGGTGCTCCTTAAATGCTAGCTCCCTCATCTTACTGTAGAGGTCCCACGTATTCACCTCAGCGTTTGCATGAGAGTCACTTACATGGGCCGAAATACTTGTCACTTTTACCACCTTTTTTTTTTTTTTTTTTTTTTTTTTTTAGTTCTAACAGTTTTTTGATAGAGTCTGTAAGGTTTTCTGTATAATACCATATCTGCAAATGGTGACAGTTTTACTTCTTCCTTTTCAATCTGGATGGTGTTGGGACCAGAATTTGACTGTCACTGGAAGCTATTTATTTATTTTTATTTTTATTTTTTTGCGGTACGCGGGCCTCTCACTGCTGTGGCCTCTCCCGTCGCGGAGGCTCTGGACGCGCAGGCTCAGCGGCCATGGCCCATGGGCCCAGCCGCTCCGCGGCATGTGGGGTCCTCCCAGACCTGGGCACGAACCCGTGTCCCCTGCATTGGAAGGCAGACTCTCAACCACTGCGCCGCCAGGGAAGCCCTATGGTTTTTTTCAACTGTGCTTTGAGATACATTCTTACTCAGTTCATAAAAGATTTGTGTGGAAAACTGGGATGCTAATTTATTAATTTACAAGGGGGATTATATCTAACCAAGAGGTATATGGTCAGTTTAGGCAATGATTGTCAACCTTTATTCTAACACTTGCACTCGTATGCTTTTTATCTTCAATAAAAATTTGTTGAGCTTTACACTGTGTGGTTTGTATTTGGAAAAGAAAAAGTATATTGGAAATGCTTTTTCACACTATGGACACCTTGGTTGAGATGCTCATATAGTTTTGTTGTGTACAAGCAAAGTACCTTGGAATGAGATGAGGGTGTCAGGCATATAGCATATGGTGGAGATGAGACAAAGAAAGATAGCGTTGATTTGCAAGGACCTTTACTCTGTGGGATCTGGGAATCCATGGAAGGTTTCTGAGCATGGAGCCAGAGACATGTGATCTGGCCAAATCTCAATTTAAATAAGAGGACTATGGCAGCAGTGTGAAGGATGGATCAAAGACCAGAGAAATTGGAGTCTGGGAAATTGAGCCGTAATAGTTATTTAAATAAATGATGAGTAGGCGCTGATTTAGGATAGCAGAAAAAGAACAGAAATTAAGATGGATTTGTTTAAAAAAAAAAAAGCATGTACTTGTTAGCTGAAAGTAGAAGTTGTGAGAGAAGGAAGTCATTCATATTTCCCAACTTTCATCAAAACGAGTCACCACTAATACATAATATGATTAATTTAAGGCTGTTGGCATCATGAAGCTTTAAGCCATGCTGGCATGACTGCATTTGGTCTTCCTAACTAGATTTGGGAGAGTCTTGACTGACTTCTCAGGTTTCGATGTTGTTTTTTTTGTTGTTGTTTTCTAGTGCAGGGCACTTCTGCAGGTGGCTTCTCTCACTCATGATTTTTCTTCCCCCTAGTTTCAGTTTCGGGGCATTTTCTGAGATATTGCCCTTAAGTATGTTCTTGCTTGTCCTGTGTATTCATTATTGTGGTAGTGATTCTTCATCTTTTATGAACTATATTCACAGATTAAGTGAATGGAAAGTAATTTGACATTGTGTTTGTTCCCATTTGTGTTGAAGGTTAAAATTTCTACTGTTACTGACACTATATCTTACATTTTTTAATCTTTGACTGACAGCTGCCATGCAAAGAAAGCCCAAATCATATTCGTCTTCTTTAATGGATCAGATTCCCATCAAATTTCTTATTCGACAGGCTCAAGGACTGCAGCAGGAGTTGGGAGGTATTTGTTTTATTTGCTTTTTACTGCTAACGTTTATTGTTTAAAAGTATCTACCGTTTATGATGTTATAAAGTGTAATAGGTGCTCAATGTTTAAAGCCCAATTCAAGAGTGAAATTCCTCTTTACCTCCCTTGCTGTCTTACTCCCTGCAAACCACTCCTCACCCCCAAGGCCCTAGTTTCATTTTGGTGTGTAATTTCAGATATTCCTTTCTATAGGGTGAATCATATGAAATTACAGGTATTCAACTATTTTTGACCTCCAAAAATGCAGTTTCATATGGTTGAAGCTAATAGATACACAAGTAAAAAATTCTTTTTTTAAGCTTTAAATGGTATTATACCCTATCTCTTCTGAGATTTGCTTTTTTCTCTTTGAGTCTTGGAAATCTTATCATGTCACTTCATCTAGATCTACCTTGTTGTTTTTAATTGCTCCATAACATTCCTTAGCGTGGAATTACTATAATATGTTTACTGTAAAACTTTCAAATAGAAATATAGTACTATTTTTTGAAATTAAAATTTTTTCTTAAATTAACACCTTTTTATAATGTTTGAATGTGTGGGTTGTTTGTTTTTTTCTTTTTGGTTTGTTTTTTTGAAGTTGGGGATTTTCTTTGTCTGTCTTTGTTACGGTTGGTTTCCAGGATGGACGGGAGCTTGCTTTCGTCATCTGTAGCCAGATGTCTGCATTTATTTTTTATATCTTTGCATTATCTCTTTCTAGAGAAATGATGTTATATTTGGCAGCTTTTGGCAACTAGCATGTTTTACTAAAGAGATTATGAAGTGTAGATTAATTTGCACTATTGTAAGCAGTCATTTTTGTGACTGTTTTGGGAAAGTCTTGACTACACATGTACTTGTGCATTAAATTTAATACCACTTTTGATTGTTACAGTGCCTTTTCAAACAGAAGCATTTATTTTAAGCAGTTTCTATGAGAAAGGAAACAGATACTTAACCCTCTTGGGACTAAGCAGTGGTTTGATTTGATCTAAGTTGCATAATAAGGGGGTGATTGGATCTAACGTACTTTTATTACTACTGATACTCTTACTGCTAACTCTTGCAACTTTGGAGATGATGATAATTGTTTAGCAGCAGCAGCATTTATTAGGTAAATAACATAGTGGCGCTTCATATGTCTAAATAGGCATTTTTACAGTATCATCATTTATTTTTCTCATTATTAATATTACACAATAATAATAATGAGTAGTCTAACTGCTGTAAGCAAAAGATTAGAAACAAGACTTAGATTTAGTCAAAGGAAGGTTTCCCGATCCTTTTGAGCTTCCTTAACCCTTCTTAAAAGAAGACAAATGCACCCTCTTGTGGGTATCGTCAGTACTGCTTGGGTTGGGTGACACAGCTGTGTGACTTTGGGAACATTAATAAATATCTTTCAGCCTGTTTCTTCATAGTAGAATGGAGACAATATTGCTTACCTTGTAGGAATGTCAGGGTGAAATGAGGAAATGCACATAAAGTGTACATTTAGGTACTCAAGTTGGGCAACTTTAATTTTACTCATCTATAGCAATGATTCTCAACTGGGTTGGAGGAGAGGACATGTTCTCCTATAGAAGCCTATCAGAATTTCTTCTTTTAAAATCTTTTAAAAGTTTTATTTATTTATGTTTTGGCTGTGCCGCTTGGCATGCGGGAGCCTAGTTCCCCGACCAGGGATCAAACCCGTGCCCCCTGCAGTGGAAGTGCGGCATCCTAACTACTGGACCGCCAGGGAATTACCAAGCCTATCAGAATTTCTGAGTGAGGCCTTTTTCAAACCATATATGATCTCCCTGAAATGAACATTCTTTTCCCTTCTCTTTTTCTCCTCCCCACTCAACTCTTGAACTACTGCTATGTCAAACTAATTTTCCTGATGGGAGACTTTTATGCTGGGATAGAGTGGAAGAAAGCTTGAGAACTTTTGACAAAAGTAGTGGCTTCCAGCTTCCTGTGTATCAATTCACTTGGCGATCTTTAAGCAGATTCTCTGGCTGAACTACTGAACAGAAGCTCTTAAGCTGTAGTATGCATGCATAAGAAGGGCAGATGCCTTTGGCTTGCTGTAAATGAGCGGGAGAAGAGAGACGGGAAAGAAGAGAGAGCAGATTTTGATGTTTAAGAGTAAAGAATCCAACTGATTTCTTTAAAATTTTCAAGGGTTGCATTCTGCTTTACTTCGTCTCCTTGCAACTAACTACCCACATTTATGCATTGTGGATGATTGGATCTGTGAAGAAGAAATCACAGGGACTGATGCCCTGTTAAGACGAATGCTCCTGACTAGTAATGCCAAAAACCACTCTCCTAAACAACTTCAAGAAGGTATAATAAATTGGTATGCCTTTTACCCCTTTAGTAGTACACAGAGGTGTTAGGCCTGTGGAAATCTTAAAATCATGCAGAATTTTCCTGGAGATATAACAGAGTTTTGGTGAATATATTTAAAGTAATTCTCTTTGAGTTAAAGGATTTTTTACCATTTTTTTCTGACATGCTTGCATCTGTTTCCTCATAGGTTCTACGTTATATCACTAAACAGGTCATGTGGTTTTAGGAAAGTCCTAAAACTGGTCAGAAATAAGTACTGTGGAATAGAACAATGTATCTGCTGTTAATGGATAATAAGCTAGATCAGCACTTTAAAATAGAAATATGATGTGAGCCACATATACAATTTTAAACTTTCTATATATTGCCACATTAAAAAGTTAAAAAGAAGGCAAATTTAAATAATTATTTTGTATAACCCAGTATATCTAATATATTATGATTTCATCACATAATCAGTATAAAAAGACTGTTAGATATTTTATTGTTTTTTCATACTGAGTCTATGTATTTTATACTTACAGCACATCTCATTTTGGACTAGCTGCATTTCAAGTGCTCAGTAGCCAGAAGTGGTTAGTGACTATTCTATTGAAGGAGGACGGTTCTAGCTATTTTTTACTAACAGTTGCTTACAGCCCATAAAGGGCTACCCGAAGGAAGGTGTCAAGAAGTTTGAATTTTTCGAATGAATGTTAATACCAAGAACAATAGTTCAGTATATTTTCATGTTTCAGTCAGTTTTTTAAATCAGTCTGAATTGTTGTCTTTGGGTCACTCTCACTAATGTGATTTTTAAAATGAGGTATTTTTTGTTCTTTACGAAATAACTGCACCTTAACATGAATTTTTCTTAAGGGCCTAATTTTAAGTATACCCACAACTATGACTAGAATGGAAAGTTTTACTTTTTTTAAAGCAATATTGCTTTCTTGATTTGTTTCGCCTATAGTTTGATAGAGCAATATTACTTCCTATTTGGTAAGCTGTATAGTATTTAGATTATGACTATAAAGTTTTCCTTTTAGCATTTTCAGCTGTCCCAGTAAGTCACACACAAGTGATGCAGATTCTAGAACACTTGACTCTACTCTCTGCCAGTGAACTTATACCATATGCAGAAGTATTAACATCCAATATGAATCAGCTGTTGAATTCAGGGGTTCCGAGGCGAATTCTTCAAACGGTCAATAAACTATGGATGGTTCTTAATACTGTGATGCCTAGAAGGTAATTTCAGTGTATTGTTACATGTAATAGATAAGTGTATAGCAGTGATTGTATACAATAACTTAAACTTAAATGTTGAAAAAAATTGTTAAAAAAACTTTTTGACAATATAAATTATTTCTGAAGACCACTAATTAAAAGAGTTGTTATAACTTTAAGGAAAAGAATAAACTCTATCTTAAGAAACAGAGAGAAACCTTCAAGTATTTCCAACTTGGGAAAGTTCTTTAAAAGGGAGTTCTCATGTAGAGTCATTTGTGGCTAATTGTGATTTAGATTACCATTGTGTCTTGCATCATTGCAGTGGCTCCAAATTTTGCTGTACATTAAAATCACCTGGAGAGCTTTTAAAACTCCTGATCCCCAAGTTGTAACCCATGCCAATTAAATCACAGTGGAATGCTGGATTCAGTGTTTTGTCTTTAGTCAAATGGGTCTCTGCTGTTCCATAGATTGCATCAAAAACACTTGGTCTGCTCTAGAAACAAATACTGGGCTGGACTTACCTGAGATTCTGATTCAGTAGGTCTGGGAATATTTATACTTTTTAAGTTTGATTTTTACTTATATCAAATTAATAAATGCACGTAAGTTAAATAGTGTATAAGGTCAGCCCCCACCTTCCCATTTTAGACTGTTGATCCTCAGAGACAATTATTCTTAGCTCCTTTATCTTTTAATTCTGGCACTTATGTCCCACCATGTATCTCAATCATATGCTTATAATTACTATGATTTCCTGACTTTTCAATTTAGAAATTATCTTTTGACTTCCTACAAAATCCTTCATACAAGATGAAGATTTAGCACTCTTACTTGCTTCCCCTGTGAGTCCCTCTTCTTCCATATATTCTCCCTTCCTCCATTTCTCCCAACACAGTTATATCAGAATTTTTGGTTAAAGAAATATTCAGTGTGCATATTATTATGACTACATAAGTGTTATTTATGTTGATATATATGATATCCTTTGATTACAATTTCTTTCTCAGACAACTGCCCTCCTTCATACCCCACATACAAACCCTGAGTTGTTTGCCTCTTTAACATTTGTTCAGGTTTTTTTGTTTTCTTTGTATCAATAACCAATTCACTCTCAAACTCTATTATTGAGTGGAAATTTACATTAGTTAGTTGTTAACACATCAGGTAACGTATTAGTAACATTTTTCCTTGGAAACCTTCCTTTCAGATCTTTCCACCCTTATGTTTCAATCTGGGACATTCACAGTAGCCATCTGGAATTGCTTTGTCTCTTGGTTTGAGTCCATGTTTTTGTCTTTCTTGATTTAGTTCCTTATTTAAGTGAGTGGAACTAAAGCTCAAGTTGCTTCCTGGGAAAGATGTTTGGGAAATATTTTTTTTTTTGAGGCTTTCGTATGTTTGGTTTTTATTCTTGCCCTCACATGTGATTGATATTAGGCTAGGTGTAGAATTCTAGCTTATTTTTCCTCTTAGCAATTTGAAAGCTTTATTCTATTGAAGTAATTAGAGCTTTCCTGATTACTTTTGAGCAATCTAATCTTATACCAATTCCCAATCCTTTGTATGTGACCACTGTTTTTTCTCTTAAAGGTTTTAGGTTCTTTGTTTCTGAAATTTCATGATGATACATCTTGGTTTGGGTCTTTTTTAATTCATGGTGCTGGGCACTTGGTTGGCCTTTTTTTTTGTCGGGGGACTAATGCTGATGTCTTCACTTCTAGGACAGTTTCTTGTATTTTTTTTTTCTTCAGTAATTTCTTTCCCTCTGTTTTCTGGAATTTTTTGCAATTTGGATTTTAAACCTCTTGAATTTAACTCTGATTTTCTCCTTCTTTCTCCTCTATTTTTAAATTTCTCTTTTATGTACATTTTCTGGATATTTCGTCTATGTTATCTTCTGATCTTTCCTTTGAATTTAAAATATTTCTGTTATAGTCTTAATTTCTAAGAGCTCTTTCTTATCTGAGAATCTATAAATGTCTCCTATTCTTGTTTCATATACGAAATATTCTGTCCTTTAAGGAAATTAATTATAGGTTTAAGAATTTTTTTTTCTTCTCATCTCTATATTCTTTGTTTCTTTGGCATTCCTTTCTTTCTGTTTGTATGTTTTAATCTTTTTCAAAGTAGAAACTTTCTTTAAATGTCTGATGATTGTTGGCTATCCACTCATTTAAGAGTGGGCAAGCTCTGTGTGTGAGGTGGGGTTGGTGGACTCCTGGGCTTCACTGTAAGAAGTCAGATACCCTACATATTGGCATATTCTTCAGTAATTCTGATGTGTAGTCAGGTTAGTAACCACTTTTATAGTCTATTGATGTTTAATCTCGAAGTGGCATCTCATATTTAGATTCTGTGATGATAAATGTAGAACAATAATTTATGGGGCCAGTTACAGTTTCAAAGTGCTTCATTTACAGGTATTATATTCGTATTTTACAGAGGAGGAAACAGTTCAGAGAGGTTCCATGACTTACACAGAGTCATACAGCAAGTATGGTATAACTGAGGTTTTAATTCAAATTCTGATTTTATATGCCATGATTATTCCCTTACAACTGTGAAGATTTTTGAAACTACTTTTGTTTATTGTTTTATCTTCATTTGTTTTAGAAACATAATAATAGGTTAGATTTCTATAGTTTTTAATTTTTCCAAGTTCATTTACACCTGTTCTCTAATTTTTTTCCTGACTATATCTTTCTAAGATAAAAGGAACTGGATGGTGGCTACAGGTTTCAATTATGATGTAGCTGTTTTTGAACATATGATTATTTTCTCATCAGGCTGTGGGTAATGACAGTTAATGCACTTCAACCATCAGTAAAGTTTGTACGACAGCAAAAGTATACTCAGAATGATCTGATGATAGATCCTCTCATTGTGCTAAGATGTGATCAGAGGGTGTACAGGTATGTGTCATTTGAGTTCGTTTTTACTATAGAGTTATGCTTTGGAGAGTCAAAGGAAATTGAAGAAATTCAGTTTAAACTTATGTCTTTGTGTTCTTGCAGGTAAGTTGGCAGCATGACCTGTGAGGTTTTTGTGTTTTCTTTTGGTTGTCTATATTCATGAACTTCAGTTTAATATGTGATTAATAAACCTAGCCTTAACAAAATGTCATCTTTGGTTTTGGCAGCCCTCAATAGTGTTCTTTCTCTCAGAGTCAAGATAGTGAAAAATGATACCATTTCTCATAGCATTGTTGAAAAAAGCTTTTAAAAAACCGGTTTATTATGAATCATTACATGCATTAAAATTGTGATCCTTTTGGAATCCTTAATTGTGATGTTAGCTTTATTGATTCCACATTTGTCTATACTTCCTTGCTAATTGCTTAACTTAAGTCAGTTGCTTTGAAGTAGCTTCACCTCAAGAGGTGGGATTAATTAATTCACATCATTAATATTTGAATTTCTAGTTGCTAAGCTAAATAGTAACAAAGATATACAAGTTGAGGGGTCTGCCTTTAAAGTGATTATCACTTGTATCGGGAAATAAGATAAATACCTGAAAAGTTAAATAATATGGTCATATGCAGATGAATGGTACAGTAAATGAATGGTGTTAAAAGTTTCAGGAGAAAGTGAGACTTTGAGTAGTATTTTGAAGTACAGAAGTAGGGTTTAGATGAACAGATACTGTAATGATGGGGCGTAAGAGGTCAAAGAAGTTATTGTGAGAAAAAGAATAGTGTGAGCAGAAGTGTAAAAGCAAGAGTGAAAAAGGCTTGAGTGGAAGGCTTAGTTTTTGAGAACACACTTTAGAGTTGGAATGTTAGGTTAAGGTCAGGTTATGGAGGGCCTTGAATGTTAGGCTGAAGAGGTCATTTAGGCGGTAACTTACGAAGAGAAGGTTCACACTAGATAGTTCAGAGGGGAAAGAAACTGGAGTAAAGAAGACTAACTAGGATACAGTAATATACTCATCTGTCTTTAACCCTGGGGATGAAATTCTTGAAGAGGCAAAATCTGCAGAATCAGCCAAATATGGTTTGGTGAGATCAAGGTCTCAGAGGGAAGAGGAATCAGAAGAATAAACAGTATAAATGACATTAAGTATCTATTTAATAAAAAGAAAACAACAGTAAATAACATTTCTAGAGAAGAGCCATTTCTAAAACAATTTATCAGTGTTAAAAATCCACTTAAGTAGGTAACCTTTCACCTAAATCACCCGCAGTTGTTCAGGAGGCTGTTAAATTATGCTATCATAATGTATGAAATGTTTTTGTAGCCTAGATCTTTCACTTAACTTGTGAACCTTTTCTCATGTTAATAGATCTTCTTACGTTAATTGGCTACGTAGTATTCCACATAGATATGCTATGCTTAATTCAGTTCCCTATTGTTGGATATTTTATTTCCATTTTTTGTTATTATTGATAGTGCTGTGGTAACTATTGTGTACTGAGTATTTCCTTAGACATGATTATTAAAAATGGAATTATTGAGGCAAAAGGAACATGCTCATTTTTAAGTCCTTTGATTCATGTTTTCATTCTGCCACTCAGAATGGCTGAACCTGTTGACATTCCTATAGTGATGTTTGATATTGTACACTTTCCTACACAGTTTTATATAATTTTTCCAATTTGATAAGTGAAAAATAGATTCCCACTTTAATTTATATTTTTCTTAGATTGAATATTTTAATATGCTTATTGGTTATTGGTATTTCTTCTTTACACTTAGCCTAGTTTTCTATTAGAATGCTTACCTTTTTTGATTTAAAGAGCTCTTTATGTATAAAGGATATCAGCTTTTTGTATATAGAGTGCAGTTTTTTCTTTTATTGTTCTATTGTTTTGCCTTTAATTTTGTTCATTTTTTAAAATTTGATTTTTTCTAAGTGATCATTTAGGTGGTTTTTAAAAATGTCAAACAATATGAAAAGATATGACATTTTTGATTTGCTTTGAACTAACCAGTGGTGATGGTGGGAAAGTGGATGGTGGGGTATGGGTGAAATAAGACTAGCGATGTGTTGATAACTGTTGCTGCTGGGTGATGAGTTCTTAGAGGTTCATTATAATATTCCCTTTTTTATGTGTGCCTGAAAGTTTTCATTATATACATTAATAAGTGCACAAACAAGAAGATTAACAAGGAAAAGGTGTACAGTGAAAAGTCTTGTTCTCTCGTATCTACCCTGCTGCCATTTTTAAAGCAAAGTTCCTCTTTGAACTATTGACCAATCCCAATTCCATCTCCAGAGGAAACTTTATTGTCATAATGGTGTGTATGTAGCTTCATTTTCTATGTATTTACAAATTTATAAACAAATATTTACTTTTTTGTTTTGGGTGGTGTTAAAAAACGTAAGTGGTTTTTGGTAGGCTCTATTTTGTTCTTTTTTAAAAAAAACTTACCATTCTGAACATGTTTTCCATATTGGTATGCATAGTTCCATCTCATTGTTTTAACTGCTACATAGTATTCCATATATACAGGCCTCTACAAACTCTGATCCAGAATGTCTGGTGGAGTTTAGGATTTTTTTTTTTAAAATAAATACTCCAGGTGATTCTTATCTTCAGTTTTGGGAATATTGCCATGGTTTATTTAACCATTGACATGTTTTTTTTTCCACTATTAATACATGCATGTTTACTGTAGAAAATTTGAACATTTCAGAAAAAGTATTGACATTTCCAGTGTTTCATAGTTAAAACCAAAGCTGTACTGCCTGTTTATGCGCACATACTCAGTCTGTGATAGGCTGGGAAGTGGCATTGTCAGGTTTTTCTAAGGACTTGGCTTTTAATATTTTAGTGGTTACTGATTTATCTTTTTTGGTTTCCTTTTTTACATTTAATTCTTATATCTATTATCTCATTTAAATTTAATTGATAACAATTTTTGAGGAATGAATAACTCTATTCATTTTTTGTTTTGTTTTGTTTTGTCTTGACTGTGCTATGGGGCATGTGGGATCTTAGTTCCCTGACCCATGCCCCCTGCATTGGGAGAGTGGAGTCTTAACCACTGGACCACCAGGGAAGTCCCTAGACTATTTGTCTTTGAGGACAGCTGCCTTGCAGGCTCATATCTAAGAGATTTAATGGTAGTGCCATTTTTTTTGTAAGAAGGAATGCCTTTTTACTAGGGTATATATTATATTTGATTTTAGTTGATAAGATGAAATAGATAATACTATTCATACAGTCTTGAGATACAGAGAATTATATATATATTAAGCTTTCATTTTTGAGAATGAATATTTTGGTGGGAAAAGTGTTGACTTTTCTACTCTTTTAATGTTTTCAGGTACTGTTCAGGTTTTTCTAATTATTCAAATTGATTGACCATGTTCTGACTAATTTATAAATTTATATTTTTTCTCACATATTTTTCTTCTTTCTGTGTTTAGATGCCCCCCACTGATGGATATTACTTTACATATGTTGAATGGATATCTTCTGGCATCCAAAGCCTACCTTAGTGCTCATCTGAAGGAAACAGCAGAGCAAGATAGGCTTTCTCAGAATAATACAATAGGTTTAGTTGGACAGACTGATGGCCCAGAAGTTACCAGAGAGGAATTGAAAAATGCATTACTGGCTGCTCAGGTGATAAAGTAAAATTAATCAAAAAGGCCAAGGGCTTTCCTGTTAATATAATCATTTAAATAGATGGCCTTCTATATAAAATGGTGACATATTATACATTCCTTTTATTACAGAAGGTATATTATAATGGTGTTACCTTTGCTTCTGAATTATTAAAATCAGGAATAATCTTCATGGTTTTATTTAATAGCCATTTTAGTGAGATTTATATTTTAACAAAATATAAGATTTTTGTTTCTTAAAATCAAATGGTGGAAAAAAAATCAAATGGTGGAGACAGACAAGAAGTGTGTGTGTGTGTGTGTGTGTGTGTGTGTGTATATATATATATATATAAAATAAAATGTCAGGCAGTGATAAATACTATAACAACACAAGTAGTTAAAGTTTGTATTTAGAAAAGTTTTATAACAATATAGAATTTACTGCAGCCTTAGGTAGTAATTTTGGACTAATGCAGGACATGCGAGATGATTGAATGTTAAGCAGTTTGAGGTCTTCAAAGTAGAAATGTTTTCTTAGTTTGAAATATATTTTCTGAAATCTTTTCATTGGCAATAAGGGGAATTAGAGTAATAATATAGGTCCACAATCCCTTATCTGTAATACAGAAATCCAAAAAGCTATGAAAACTGAGGCATTTTTTTTGGTAATTCAGTTGGCAGAAAAACCTGACCTGATATGACCTTGTTTGTGTCAAAACTTGACCTGAATTGATGTGAAGCTATTTATGGCCTTTATCCCACTTAATATGAATGTTGGTATGTTTTGTTGCAGAAATATAAATACATTTGATTACAATGTACTGCCTTAGTCTCTGCTGGAGATGTTATATAATATTACAGAAAAAAAAATCTTGAGTCCTAAAATAAATCTGACCCTCAGAGTTTCAGATAAGGGATTGAGGATGGTAATAGCTACCATTTATATAATGCTTATTATATGGTGGGTGCTATTCTGAGTTTTTTATGTATATTAACTCATTTACTCTTTACAACCAACCTATGAGGTATGGAGTATTATCTCCATTTTTACAGATTAGGAAAACGAGATCCAGAGAGGTTAAGTGACTTGCTCAAGGTTATACATTTAGTAAGTGGGGAAGCTGGGATTCAAGCTTGGGGAGGCTGGCTCCAGAGTCTATAAAAAAAACAAACAAACATAAAACAGTAACAACCCAAAACCCGTCAAGAATGATTATAAAGTTTACTTTATAAATGATTATAATGTAAGGCTAACCTTAGTTTATAATTAAGTTATTAAACAGGTAGATGGAGTAATTGTTTTCTTCTATCCCAGGCAGTGGCAGTCTTTCAGAGATGCATGTTATGTATTCATTTTCTTTTTCCTTCTTCCTGCTAGATGCAAGTGATTATAGCTCTCCTTTATAGGCAGGGGCATTAAGTAGATCACCCCTCAAGAAACTACTTTTCTATGAAATGGCACTCAAGCTTGTAGACTGAGCAATAATGAGTTGTACAGTTGGAATGGATGGTAAGGCAGAATCTTTCCAGAGCCTTAAAGAGCCTATCTTCAAATTAAAAGGAAAAAGAGTTTTGGGGAGTGACTTTTAGGCATTAATTATTAACCACCATCTTCAGAGGTGAGAAAAAGAGGGGAATACAAGATAGGATCCTGGGAGAAGTAGGAATTTAAGAGGAAGGAAAGGAGATTCCAGTAGAAGTCATTTTTTGCCCTAGGGCCTGTTTTGGATGACACCAAATTCGAATACTTTTATTCGTATTAGATGTTCTTAAACTCGAGTTCATGTATCTGCCTTAGAGGTGTGTGACCACTCTGAAATTATGCCATATGTTGCTGTGTTTACATACGTTAATTTTTATGCTGAGAGGGTATACAGTTTTCTTCAGATTCTTAAAAGGGTTCATGGCCCTGAAAAAGATGAGAACCACTGGCCTATAGATTGTTCACTTTTTCTCTTAGAAGTACCTCTTTGCTTTTTGTTCTTAAAGAAACAGTTATTTTTATCACATGTGTTCATGTGAAAACAAAATCATATTTGGTTTTCAAACAAACTTCTCAGAAACTTCTTAAATTCACTGTGTTTTTATTTGCTTGTAGGATAGTGCAGCTGTCCAGATTCTCTTGGAGATTTGCTTACCTACTGAAGATGAGAAGGCAAAGCGTGTCAATCCAGACAGCTTGCTAAGGAATGTTCAAAGCGGTATTACTGCCAGCACTCCAACTAAGGGAATGGAGGAAGGAGAAGACAATTTGCTCTGTAACCTTCGAGAAGTTCAGTGCCTTATCTGTTGTCTGTTGCACCAAATGTACATTGCGGATCCCAACATTGCTAAGCTTGTTCACTTTCAGGTCTGGTTTCAAAGAATGATTCTTTATGGTTGAACTTTATTTTGGGGGTAGTTTTGAAGTACTAAATTAATAGGAATCATTTAGAAACTGGAGGTCACACAAATGATCATGGTCCTTTGCAATATGGAGAAAAATCCAGATTTTTAAAATTTGATTTCAGCCTAATAAAGTGTTCATATAATTTATTTGTATTTTAGTGCATCAGAGAGGTGAAATGCCAGGAAACATGTAGGGCATTGTAGCCTTCTGAGCAACTGTTACATAAAGGAAGTGAAACCTTCCTTTATATTTTTATCTGTATTTGACTTGCAGCTATTTTATTTCTAACTTTTCCCCCCTTTCTTGTTGAGATAGGGTTATCCATGTGAACTTTTGCCTCTGACAGTCGCAGGTATTCCATCTATGCACATCTGTCTGGATTTCATACCTGAGCTTATTGCTCAGCCAGAACTTGAAAAACAGGTAATGAGCATTTTGGAACTTTAGGAGAATTTTGATCTCCCTCTAATCTTATAGTTATATAAAACATTTTACAATTTTTAATACTTAAAGACCTTCTTCAGAAACATGTAATATTTGGATTTTGTGTTACAGATATTTGCTATCCAGTTGCTTTCTCACTTGTGTATCCAGTATGCATTACCAAAGTCACTCAGTGTGGCTCGCTTAGCTGTCAATGTCATGGGAACTCTGCTAACAGGTGTGTAGCCAACCGACATCAATAACAAAAATTTCTAACATAAAGTAGTACATATTTTTTCTGACTTTAGTGACACCATGTTTTCTGTGTCACTAATAGTTATGCCACCTTTTGAATTAGTTTTGAAAATTTTCCTATGACAAATGTGATGTATAGTGTAGAGGAGATAAGTAGGTAGGCAAATTGTATCTTTCATTTTTGTGAATGACTGTATATAGATTTATAGTAAATATACTAAGCATTCCACATTTTATAAATGGAAATCAAGTCTACCTTCTGAACATAATTATGTCAATAGAAAACAAGTTACAATCTATTACAAATGCTTAGAATTCCAGAAAAATATAATCATCTGTATAAATAAGAGATAAATATATAAGTTGTTTCCTTAAGTTCTAAAACATACCCTAACACTTTAACCACCTTCTAGGTTGTTAAGTAAAATGGTATGAAAATAAACTAAAAGATATGAACTATAATTCAACCTTTAAAAGTTATGGCTTAGTCAATTTCATATTCTTTCTCAGTGCTCCCATAATAATCTATTCATTTATCTTTCCATCGTATTCACTTCATGTTATAATTATTTGCAGTGGTTAAGATCTTACACTGCCTGAGTTCTATCCCAACTCCACTGCTAACTGGAGTTGAAGAAGCTTCTTAATCTCTCTAAGGTTTATTTAAGAGTTTCCTCATATATTAAATAGTATCATAGAAATACTTTTTTCATTCATAAGATTGTGAGAATTAAATGAAACAATGCATGCAGTGCACCTATCACAGTGTTTGGACATAAGCATTTATGTGTTGGATGATGGCTGACTACTAGATTATGAGCTCCCTGAAGGCAGGGGCTGGCCATGTCTTAGAAAACTTAGTATCCTCAGCACAGAGCATGGTGCTTAGTATATTGTATAGGTCATGTATGTTGAATTTGTATCTGTAAAATGAAAAATTCTGTTTTATTTCTTTCTAACAGTTTTAACACAGGCTAAGCGATATGCTTTTTTCATGCCAACTCTGCCAAGTTTGGTCTCTTTTTGTCGAGCATTTCCTCCACTGTATGAGGATATTATGTCTTTGTTGATCCAAATAGGGCAAGTCTGTGCCTCTGATGTTGCCACTCAGACAAGAGACATCGATCCGATTATTACGCGTAAGTAGTAACTTATTTTCAAGAGTTGTTTTAATATCTCAAACAGAAAGGCCCAAATCCTTTCCAGATTTCTTGCCTTATTTATTTTTCCTTATGTTTTTAGGCCTTCAACAAATAAAGGAGAAACCAAGTGGATGGTCTGGAATCTGTAAAGATCCATCTTACAAAAATGGACCTAGGGACACTGGAAGCATGGATCCTGATGTACAGCTCTGTCATTGTATTGAAAGCACAATAATTGAAATAATAAACATGAGTGTTAGTGGAATTTAAAAAAAAACAAAAACAAAAAGAACTTAAAACAAAAAAATGAAGCTGTTTTGCTGCATATACCCAACATGAATTTGCATCTTATAACAACTAAACTGAATGGGAACAGTAACGTCTTGGAATCACTAAAACGATTCAATTCAACATGAATACAATTTAGAACTCTCTTGAGAATTATGCTTGCTTGTATTTGATTGGCAGTTCTTTGGATCTACTTTGCTGGTATGTTTTTTGTAGCAGCTGAGCTTTTTCTGTTGGGAGCACATTTAAGAAACTCATTACTGGAAAGTGAATATGGCCTTGTATTAAGCTTTTGAAGTGAAGAAAAACTGCCATGCCTTTGATTTAATTTCTTATAAAAATAAGTCTGTGGGTAGCCCTAGTATTTACCTGTCAGCTAGTAACAGAGTATATTGATGCAATGATGAGAGGGAGAAAAAGGGAAGGGAGAATTCAGGAAAAATTAGGAGTTTAGATACCCAAATAGAAACCTCTAAAACTTGCAATGCAAGTAAGAGTAATGCAAGATGGAATTCCTTTTCTCAAGAAATAGTATTGAGAAGGCTTTAAAAAAGGCAAGTAGCTTTTTGTGAATGATTTTCATGGAATTACAGATGAGGATTTTAAGATTTTACATATTTGCTTCAATTTTTACTAATATATGAAGCCATATGTTTAAAGAGATACTTGAATAATTTGGAATTTTAAGATACTGGTTTAAAAGTGTTTACAGAAACATCTTTGTGCAGAGAAGAACCTGAAAGGATGTCTCATTTAGTTTTTTTAAAGTTTATTTTTATAATGGTCAGAGGGGGGAAATACTTTGGTATCTAAAGTTTAGAGCAATAAAACCCACTGGATTAAAGAGTTCTTGGTTTGTCATTAGGATTATAATTCACATCATAATTCTAGATTTTGAAGTACAAAAATATATACAGTGTTTGGACCACAGGAAAAATTAAAAAGGGGAAAATACTGTGTTGTGGAAGGATTTTGCAGTCCTCTTTTAGGAATGTCCATTGATTAGGTAGATGCATTCAGATAACCCATAATCCTCATTTTTTTCTTTTTTTTTTTTTTTTTTTTGGTACGCGGGCCTCTTATTGTTTTGGCCTCTCCCGTTGCAGAGCACAGGCTCCAGATGTGCAGGCTCAGCGGCCATGGCTCACGGGCCCAGCCGCTCCGCGGCATGTGGGATCTTCCCAGGCCGGGGCATGAACCTGTGTCCCCTGCATCGGCAGGTGGACTCTCAACCACTGCGCCACGAGGGAAGCCCCTCATTTTTATTCTTAATGAAGTATCCAGTGTAGAAGGTACTTCTCTTTGCTTTCTGAGATATACCTGAATGAACCCCCCCTTCCCACCCCACTTGAAACAGACCTCTTCACTTATAAAAGAAATAAGCCAGGCTAGTAAGAAAGTGTGGTTTTTAAGAAAAAAAATTTAATTTCAGCCTTTTCACTAGCAAATAGTCACATCTTATTTTCCTTCTGTGTAAAATGGGATTACTGCTGGCCCTACCTCATAAGGGTATAAGAACTAATTTGTATCTGTTTCAAATCATGAAGTGCACAGTATCATTGATGAGAGTATTTATAACTTTTATTAGATGCTTAAAGTTCAATTAAGTAATTTTGATGCAAAAAATAAAAGCGTACACTTAAACTAGAAGAATTTTCATATTTTTGAACAAGGCAGTTTTGTAGTCTTTTAAAATTAAGTACAACTGCTCCTGTTTTGTTTTGTTTAAACGGAGGCTTTGGAATAGCTTGTGTGAGTAGGTAACCTCTAGGAATTCAGAAAAGTTTTCTAACTAAATGCTGTGCACATTCCTGGATCAATTTTCAAAAACTGGTCAAAACCTGCTGTGTTAAAATAATAACATATGCTGTTTTTCATCACGTTTGTTGATGATGTAAATAAAATGTGTAAATATATTAGTAAATGTTAATATTCATGTATTTTAAGTTAAGGTTATAACATTTGTCACAATGTGATTTTTTTTTTATTCAAGTGAAAAACAGATGTGTGCAGCTATTTTGAATATTGGTTTATAAACATTCATATTCTTTATCAAATGAACTTGTAGTTTTTTGTGTTTCATTTCACCACTGTTAACCTGAAAGGAACAGTTCAAGGCACTGGAATCCAGGACTGTCTGGCTCCAGAAACTATGTGTATCCCTTTTTGTTACGCTACATACATCAAAAGGCAATACAAGGTGAGAGTCAGTTGAGAGCCTTAGGAATTCAGGAGAGGAAAATCAGAGTAGTTACCCTGGAGCAGTTACTTAAAAGATTTTGATATTTTAAAAAAATTGTAAAAGCAGAATAATAATTTGAAGGTATTTTTAAGGATTTATTTTTATAAATTATCTTCCATAGCACTGTCTTACCAGTATTTTTTTTGTACTTTCCCTTCATCTTTGCTTATGCATATGTATTTTCACATAATGGAATTCCATAATACCCAGTTTGGCATCTGCTTTTTTTTCATTTAACTTTATATGGAAAATTTTTGCAAGTTGTTTGGTTTTTATAATTATTTTATTGGCTCCAGAATGACTGAATTGATATAACCATCTCCCTATTACTACTAGACTGGGCAGTTAATGATTTTTTTCCGAACAGAATGGGCACTATTATCAACTGAGGTACTACTACTTTTTCTTACTTTTAGATTACTTGTTTAGGGTAAATTTCTGGGCCTGAGATTACTAAATTAAAGGGTAGAATTTATTTTTATGATTGTACGTTTTGTCATTTTGGGAAGATATAGTAAAACAAAGTGAGGCAAACAAATCAACTCGCCTTTTGCTGCTCCGACCTGCAAGCAAATCTCTGTCCCAAACTGGCTTCTCGGGATGTAAGAAACTGTCTCAGGTTTTGCTTTTGGGGGGCACTAGTATTTGAGCCAAGTTTAGGCTAGAGTTTAAAAAAAAACAACAGTTTCGCGACATCATGGTTAACTCCGTACCTTTGAGGAAACTGAAGTGTACTTGGCAAATAATAAATTGGTCTTAGGAGGGACAGAAGGCTGACAAGCCTTAAAGGAGGTACTGGAGTCCTCGAGAGCGTTTCTCTGGTTGAACGTGGTATCTGAGAAAGCCTTGACTATCAGGAGATTCTGTAGCCAGCTGTCATCGAACCTTTTCGCCTAATTTGGCTCAGCAGTCTGGCAATTCCCTCCTGGGTCTTTTTGATACTCTGGCTTCCGGAAAGTTCGGAAGTTTGAATCGGGTGCCCCTGAGGAATGCTGAGAGAACTCGGCGCGGTTTAACGGTGTTTCATCTTCGTTGGTCTACAGACCTTAAATGTGAGACTTAAGAGTTTCCAAGAAAACTGAGGCACGGATTAAATCACCAGTTTCAAAAAGTCCAACGGAGAACGCTGTTTTACTTTAAATCCCTGGGCTCTGCGGAAGTCCATCACTCTCGAGGCAATCGCCTTCCGGTGCCGCCAAGTAGCTTGGGCCCTTTCTTACTGCGGGGGCTTCCGTTGGGTGCCAGAGCGCCCCCTGACCTCGAGCCGGGATTGGTTGCTTGGTTTCTCGTCTTGGCGGGTGATTGGTTGTCTGAGCTCGCCCGGTGATTGGTGCTGGGAGTCGAGGGGGGTGGGAGGCGGGAATTCGTCTGCGCGAGTGTTGTGGAAGTGACTGATGAGAGCTGAAGGGCCGAAAAGGTAAGGCGGCCGCAAGCCCGCAACCGGGCTCGGGAGTCGCAGCCAGGTGAGGAAGAGGGGCTAGGACCTTTCTTCTCTACCAGGGCTCCGCTGTGGTTGCTCGCAGTTTTCAGCTTCCTTTTCTCCCGTGAGTGGGAGTGCAGTAGGCGTTGTTTGGGTTTTCCTCGGGGCGGGCAAGTCTGTCTGGCGGGAAGGGCGCGAAGTCGGCCAGGGGAGTGCCTTCTGCTTTCGTCCACCCGCTTTGCAGGCCCGTCGGTTGACTGGATCACCAGGGCCTCGGGGGTTCCAGCTTGCCGAGGGAGGAGGGAATGTGAGGAAGAAAACCTGGGGAGCGGGGAGACTGCAGCTTACCTCCTTGGAACAGAGGCCTGTTATTAGCCCAGGGCCCCGCGTTACCTCGGGGCAGGAGGGGGCGACGGCGGGAGCCTGATTTTGGTTTGTCCTTTATTCAGTGTGTGGGGAAGCTTCCCCATTTTGAGATGAGTGTAGCCGCAACTGGGGCCGGGGGGGGGGGTCGATTGGTTTCTAGGTTATATCTGAGTTACTAGGCCAGCCTTGAGCTGTTGGTTTAGATTTAGGGGTGAGATTCCACCAAATTTCATCCTCAGAGCTTCACAGAAACACAAAACGTTAGAACTGGAAAAGACCTTAGAATAGTGGTTCTTAACTTCTTTGGGAGCACGTAAGCTTTGGTGATGGTTGTTATTGGCTTCATCATCTGTTGAGTTGGTATTTTAACCATCTCTCCGTCCCCAGATCGAATTTACCTTTTTATCACCATTGCAAATAATTTTTCAGTTGATAGCAGTGTATGTCATTTTCCCTCAGTTTTCAGTTATTTCCTTAGGATATATTTTTGGGTATGAGAAATCTTTGGACTTTCTCTCTAGAAAAATGCAGTCATACACAGAAATTTCTGCATGCAGTATCAAGAGATCACAGTCTTTCAATTACATCTGTGGATCCTAGGTTAAGAAAAGGTGGTTTACAAGAGGTGGGGATTAAAGTAGATCACTTCCTCTGTATCAGATGCTGGAGTTGAGGCACATTCTGTACATTACCTTATTTAATTCTTAAGTCAGTGCCTGGCTAATTTTCATAAAAACCCTATCAGGTGGATATCTCTATTTCACAGATGAAGAAACAGGCTCTGTGAGATTCACAGTGGAATTCAAATTTAGGCTTGCCTTACTTCAAAGTCCATCTTCCTTCCATTATACCCTACTGACCTTTAAGTAAGAATTATTGAGCACCTACCATGTGCCAAAGCGCTTTGTTCCTTACAACAATTTTTAAATTACGGATTTTTACAGATAAGGATCTCAGTCTAGAGAAGTGAAGAGACATGATCAGGGTAGCATATCCAAGTTGTTGTCAGAACCAGATGTAGAACCTGCTTCCTAACTCCTGGTCCACAGCTTTGGCAGAATAAGGTTACAGATCCAGATTTGTTAGATTCCAAGACATGCTCTCAACCACTGTGATTTATAAGAGTAGGAAATCCTTTTACTTCCATTTGTTTTGTTTATACATTTATTAATTCCAATTTTTGTTTCTAGACTTCTGTCCTAGTCTTAGGTATCTGTTTTTCTTTGAATGGCTTTGTTTCAGTATTGACTTTGATTTCTGTTGCAGTTAGGAATCTGAAGTAAACAGTAAAACATGATGTCTTCAGTATGTTCTGAGTATACAATTGGTGGGGTGAAGATTAACTTTCCTTGTAAAGCTTATCCATCACAGCTTGCTATGATGAATTCTGTAAGTATTGTTCAGCAGTTATTTTAAGTCTTTATTAAGAGACAGATGCTTATAATTCATAACATACATTGAGTCTGTGACTACATTTTCTCAGATAGTAAATGGATTGAAAATATTTGCTGGGTTCATTGAAGAACATCTAACCTTTGGAAAAATAATACTGATTGCTGCTAAACTGTATATGTCTATGATTAGGAGGTAAAGGAGAACATCCTGAAAAATGTTCTCAGCTCATTTAGAACTTCTGTTTACTTTACTGAATTACTTTGAAATAGAAAGTATTTACTATCTTTTACGCAGACTACTATACTTTGCACCATAATTTTTTTGAGATATTTCAATCATATAGAAAATTAATATACAAACTTGAGTAAACCAACTTACCAGCTTTGTTAAATCTTAATATTTTGCCTTATTTACTTTATACCTTGTTTATGAGTAACAAGGTAACTAATATCCTGAATTTGTTATTTTTCTTTCCTAGCCATGTTTTTATACTTTGATCGCATATGTATGTATCCATAAACAATATAGTGTATACTTTACGTTTTTATAACTTTGCACAATGATATGATATTATACTTATCTTTCTGGAGAACTTGATTTTTTTTTTTTTTACTTAATATTCTTCTTCTTATTATTTTTTAAGGATTTATGCCATAAGTTTTTTTATAGATGTACCTAGTATGTTGAGTTCAAGAGTTGGATCCTTTTTTCAGAGAGATTGCACCTCTTAAAATGCTCCTCTTCATATTTGTTTCATGGATTATTTTTTGAGCAGTTGGTGTCTTACTATAAAGAAAGGAGAAACAAATCCAGATCAGAAGTACAAAGTCATTGTAACTAGTAATCGCCCCTTGTTTTCCACTGAAAATGGTAAATTCTTCCCTGGACCCTCCTCATAGTGGCTCCTATGGACCACAGAGTTTGTGAACCTCCAGATGCTCTGTCCCAGCGTAGTGCTGTTGGAAGCCTGTGGAAGGTGCAGAGACTGAAGGCGGAAGAAATGGCAGCAGCACACCAAGCCCTCCTTTCCTCACGACCTTGTTCCCTTGTCTAACATTATTTTTAAGATGTAGCCCTATTGATTGATAACTCATTTTCATTGCTGTATGGTACTCCATTGTATGAATATACCAGAATTTTATATTTGCCCATTTTCCTCTTGATAGACATTTGGGTTGTTTACATTATTTTGCAATTATAAACAGTGCTGCTATGAACTTTCTTATACATGTTTCCTTGTGTTCCTGTGGGAAAGGTTTTGGGTGTTTACATAGGACTGGATTGCTGGAGTTCAGTATCTTTAACTTTACTAGAAATTGATAATTTCTATACAGAGTGGTTGTAACACTCCCACCAACAGTATCCTCCATTAAGTTTTCATCAAAGATATTAGTGTATTCTAGTTTTACAGAAATGATGGGGCTTGCATAAGTAAGGCACAAATTGCTTTTCATTTCTTTTGTGCTTGATATGGTTTAAATCTAACAGAATTTTAGGGAGAGATACAAAGGAATAAAGTCTAGATTTAACTAAATTCTAGTTCTCCTTTCTGCTATTGCTCTGTTCCCTGAAGTGCATGCAACTTTACTTCTTGTTGTTGTATGGAGAGAGACTTTAATGAGATAAGTTGTTGATTTTTTTAAATTGTTTTTGTGTCCATAGATTGTCAGAGGATTAAATAGTAAGCAGCATTGTTTGTTGGAGAGCCCCACAGGGAGTGGGAAAAGCTTAGCCTTACTTTGCTCTGCTTTAGCGTGGCAGCAATCTCTTAGTGGTAAGTAGTTGGTTGATGTCTTCAGGTTGCTTATTGGGACCCGAAAAAAAAATCTAATAAAGTACTTTTTACCCAGAATGATTCAGCCATGTTCTAGCTAATTTAAATATTCTCTTTTAAGATATTTCTTTATAATCAGTTATATATCTTCCAAAAGAGTTTCAATGTAGCAAAATATGTTCAGTTAATCCTAAAATAATTTTGAACATAAGATAGTCCTTTATTTGATGATTCAGCATGTATATAAGAATCTAGGATTTTATTTTTATTATTTTTCATAAGAATGATTATGAAAATAATTAGATGATAATTTTTATATAAAAGTTGCAAGAGATGGGGCTGTCATGATTATATAGCATATCAATTCAAATAATTGCTTTTTTTGAGTAAATCCTTTAATATAGCTGCTTATCTCACAACATTAGAAAATGGAATACATAAAAAAGAAAAATTCTAGTTGACCTTTCTACTTGTTTGGATGCCAGATAAGCAGAAGTTTATTGTAATATTTTTATTAATTCATATTATTTCCCATAGCTTTATTGGCTAGCAAATGTCTAGTTACTTTTGTGAAAGACTATCTAATATACATAATGAATCTGAAATACAATATTGGTCACATTTTAGTTACATAATTAGATGGCTCTGTCCTAAAGTATTAGGAGATTTTAAAGTTAACCATGGGTGTATATGTGTATGTATGTATGTGTGTATATATATGTACACACATATATATGTTTTTTGAAAAGAAATAGTTGTGTTACTGGTAAGACTATTAAAAATAAAGAGTAAATATTTTGTAAGCTTTTGGTTGTCCATTTTGTTTCTTACTGATGTTTATCTTTGGGGAAAATGAGATTATCTGTTAATAAATTTTTAGTGGGAGACTCTGGAAAATAAAATTAGTAGTATTTATGTAGTGCAGATGGGAAAATAATGTCAGTACTGTTTATAGAAAATAAAATAAATTATTCAGCTTTTATATATCTATGAATTGTATATTTATACGGTGTAGGCACACGAAGAACTATTACAATTTTGTATTATATTTAAGTATTGAAAATTACCTGTTTAATTTGAATATTGACTTTAAAATGTATTTTGATACATGTATCAGAAATGATATCATGAAACATGTTTTTTGAAATAGAAGTATAATGTGGGAATAATTTAACGTTATGTGTTTACATTATTATTTTATATTGAACTTTCAAATTTTTCATTTAGGGAAATAGCAGTAATTAAGAGTATAAATAATTAAGAATATACTTTAGGTATACTTGGTATTTTAATATATCTCAATATAAATGAATACTCGAGTAGTTGTGCCTCTGTTACATTATTAATCTTTGACTGTTATTAGATTATTGTAAATCATGTAAATTGTTGATAACTTCTCTATAAATGTTTCTGGCATAAGTGTTTCTCACCTGTCCTAATTTGATGCTGCAGGATGGGTGACCAACTTGTCCAGATTTGCCAGGTACTTTCCTGGTTTTAGAACTGAAATTCTGAATCCTGGGAAACCTCCCAATCCTGGGCAAAAAATAAGGTGGTTGCACACCCTAGCTGAAGAGGAAGATTAATGTTTTTTTAATTAGAAATATTATAAATAGAGGTTATTTCATTTTTAGGGAAGCCAGTGAACGAAGGCTTAAGTAAAAAAGCTGAAGTACCATTGTCGTGTTGTTGTACATGCCATTCAAAGAATTTTACAAACAATGATGTGAACCAGGGAACTTCATATCATTTCAACAGTCCAAGTATACCAACTTCTGAAAGAAATGGCACTTTGTCAACTTGTCAAGGTAGTTTATATTTTGTCTGGGTCTTTTGGTATCTGTAATAGGGGTCTTAATTATTGCTGTTATGAGACGTAATGTAGATAAATTTGGTTAGCATAATTGGTTATGTATTTCCACCTAATTTCTCTGGAATTATTTTGAATAATGCATAGAATGGTCAGAAATCCTTGGAATATTTTATTCTTGGCCTCACTTTTAACTGATTCAGACATCTTGCTAGTTTAAATCATTTTTGAGGAAGCAAGGCAAAATAACTGATATTCAGAAATTGATGTTATTTGTAAGCAGTATTAATTATATGTCAGAATTTCATAAAACATTTTGATTTGTATTGTAAGGCAAAATCTAATTAGCCTCATTCACTCTTGATAAGTTTGCCTAGACTTCCGAGACCAGTATCCTATATGAGAATGAGGTATGTTTCAAATATGATCCTTAGATGTTCTTACTAGATTTATTTAAGAGAAATGTATTATCAATAACATAAGATTATTAATTTAAAGAATATTTCTTTTGCTTTGACTGTATGGAAAAGATTGACCATTACTTGCCTAAGCCAGAAACCTAGGAGACATCCTGTACGCTTTGCTATTCCTTATTCCTCCATGCAAATCTCCACCTCCATTGGTAACTTCCCTAGTACAAACTACCATTTGTTCTTTAGACCGTGTAATAACTCCTTTCCTGCTTTCACTCATGCCATTCCTTAACTAATCACTGGCAGGGAGAAAAGAGGTTGCCATGACTGGCTTAAGTCTAAACAGTATCCACTTCCTAAAATCAAGGATCGAGTTGTCTTCCTCTAAAGCACATGACTGTGTGGAGGATGGTAGCTGCTTGAACCGAAGTGTGATTCTTTTAGGAATGAGGAAGAGGAAGTGGAATAGATGCCGGAGAGGTGACCAATAGTGTTGTCTACTCGGTTTTGACCCTTAACATTTTTGGCTTTCTTTCCAAACATTCTTTCAAAGGGTCATGCTTTCTGCTGCCTTCAGAACCTTTGCTTGTGTTAGTGTCTCTTCTGAGGAAAATTTCATCTTCAACTTGTCCTGCTCTTCCTTTAGCTCTCAGCTTAGATATCACTTCTTTAAGGCAGCCATACTGATCTTTCCGTCACACTACATTTGGTTTCCCTATTATATTCTGTCATCTCACTGTGTACCTCTCCTTCATAGCACTTGTTACAATTTGTATTATCCACGTGTCTGTGTGCATCTTTTATTAATCTCTGCTTCCCGTAGCAGACTGTATACTCCATGAGGTCAGGAACTGTGTCAGTCTGCTCACCATTGCATACCTAGCAGTGCCTGGCATATAGTAGGAGCTAGATAAATATTTGTTGTATGAATGAATGGAATTGATTTTAAGCTAATTATTAATATAAGAACTCTTGGCTTATAATGTTTATGTACAACCTGGAATTTTTTTTTAAGACAGCTTTACTGAAACATTCTTTACATAATAGACTCTATATATTTAAATGGTACATTTTGATAAGGTTCGACATAAGAGTATTTCCCTGAAACTTTCACTAACATCAAGATAGTGAATATATCCATCAGCTTCAAAAGTTTTCTCATGCCCCTTTATTATCCCTCCTTTCCACCATTTTATAATTTATCCTCCCCAAACAACCACTGAGTGTTTTCGGTCACTGTAGATTCGTTTGCATTTTCTAGAGTTTATATGAATGAAACAATACAGTTTGTATACTTATTTTGCCTAGCTTCTTTCACTTAACATAATTCTTTTAAAATTCATCCATGTTGTTGCATGTATCAACAGTTGCTTCTTTTTATTGCTGAGTAATATTCTAGTGTATGGATATACTGCAAATTGTTTATGCAGTCACCTGTTGATGTGTATTTGAGTTGTTTCTAGTTTCCGGTTGTTACAAATAAAGCTGCTGTGAACATTTGTGTATAAGTCATTGTTATGGACATGTGCTTTCACTTTTCTGGGTACATACCTAGGAGTGTAATGACTGGATCACTTACGTTTAACTTTAAGAAACTTCAAAACTGTTTCCCAAAGTAGTTATGCCATTTTACATTTCCACCAGCAGTGTATGAGAGTTCCCATTTCTCTGCATCCTTGCCAGCACTTGGTATGGTAAATCTTTTTAGCCATTCTAATAAGCTTATAGTGGTATCTTATTGTGGTTTTATTTTGCTTTTCCCTAATGACTTGTGATGTTGAGCATCTTTTCATGTGCTTATTAGCCATTTGTATATCTTCTTTGATGAAATGTCTGTTGAAATCTTTTGCCTGTTTATTGTTTTTTTCTTATTGTTAAGTTTGGGATTTCTTTATATATTCTTGAGTACAAGCTTCTTTTTTTAATCAAGTATAGTTTTAGGTTTTACTTTTAAGTCTAAGTAATTTTTGTATACGGTGTGAGATGTGGATCCAAGTTCGTTTATTTTGCATATAAATATTTAATTTTTCATTAACATTTATTGAAAAGGCTACCCTTTGTCTGCTGCATTGCCTTTGTGCCTTTGTAAAAAATCAGTTTTCAATAAACTTGAATTTTAATATAATTGTGAGTTAGAGTTGTTTAGAGTAGTCTCTTCAAGGATCTGATGGGGTAAATCTGGGTTGTATTCTGATGCTCTCTTTACATTTTTAAGTAAATTCTTTAAAAATATGACCTAAATACAGAAAAATGCACAAATTCTATGTGTATAGCTTGATGAATTTTCACAAAGTAAACACACTCGTGTAACTACCACTAGATGAAAAATAGGACATAGCTAACACCCCAGTGGCACTTCTCATGTTCTTTTCCTGTCACTGTTCTCTCTCTCCACAGGTAGTAGCTATCCTCCCTCTGTCACCATTGATGAGTTTTGCTTCTTTATAGAAATGGAATTATATCTGTACTCTTGTGTCTGTCAGCTTTTGCTTAACATATTTCTCAGATTCATTTGTGTTGTATATAGCAGTAGTTCTTATTGCTGTATTTTATGGTATATAACAAATTATATACCATAATTTATTATTTCATTCTGCAATTGTTAGACATTTGGGTGGTTTCTAATTTTGGTTATTAAAGGTATTATGAACATTCTTGTTCATTCTGGTACAGATAGGTAAACACTTTCTATTAGATATAGATCTAGGAATGGAATTGCTGGTCATAGTGTATGCATATGTTGAACTATAGTAGATACTGCCAACGTTTTCCAAAATGGTTGAACCAATTTATTCATCCCCCCCCGCCCCGACTCTACATCTAGTAGTATATGGAAGTTACATTGTTCAGCATTCTTTTTTTTTTAATTTATTAATTTAATTTATGTTTTATTTTTGCCTGCGTTGGGTCTTTGTTGCTGCTCGCGGGCTTTCTCTAGTTGTGGCGAGTGGAGACTACTCTTTGCTGCAGTGTGCGGGCTTCTCATTGTGGTGGCTTCTCTTGTTGTGGAGCACAGGCTGTAGGTGCGCAGGCTTCAGTAGTTGTGTCACGTGGGCTCTAGAGCGCAGGCTCAGTGGTTGTGGCACACGGGCTTAGTTGCTCCGTGGCATGTGGGATCTTCCCGTACCAGGGCTCGAACCCGTGTCCCCTGCATTGGCAGGCAGATTCTTAACCACTGCACCACCAGGGAAGCCCCCAGTATTCTTGTTAGCACTTGATATTAAAGTCTTTTTAAGTTTTAGTCGTTATGGTGCCTGTGTGTTGTTCTCGTGAATTTTAATTGTTATCTCTGTGGTAACTAATGAGGTTGATAATTTTTTTTTTAAATCTTTATTGGAGTATAATTGCTTCACAATACCATGTTAGTTTCTGTTGCACAACAAAGCGAATCAGCCATATGCATACACATGTCCCCATATCCCCTCCCTCTTGAGCCTCTCTCCCATCCTCCCTATCCCACCCCTCTAGGTCATTGCAAAGCACCAAGCCAGTCTCTCTGTGCTATGCTGCTGCTTCCCCCCAGCCAACTATTTTACATTCGGTAGTGTATGTATGTCGATGCTACTCTCACTTTGCCCCAGCTTTGCCTTCCCACCCCATGTCATCAAGTCCATTCTGTATGTCTACTTCTTTATTCCTGCCCTGCAACTAGGTTCATCAGTACCATTTTTTGTTTTTTTTTAGTTTCCATATACATGTGTTAGCATACAGTATTTGTTTTTCTCTTTCTGACTTACTTCACTCTGTATGACAGACTCTAGGTCTATCTACCTCACTACAAATAACTCCATTTCATTTCTTTTTATGGCTGAGTAATATTCCATTGTATATATGTGCCACATCTTCTTTATCCATTCATCTGTCGATGGACATTTAGGTTGGTTCCATGTCCTGGCTATTGTAAGTAGTGGAATTGCTGGGTCATATGGTAGTTCTACTTTTAGTTTTTTAAGGAACCTTCATGCTGTTTTCTATAGTAGTTGTATCAATTTACATTCCCACCAACAGTGTAGGAGGGTTCCCTTTTCACCACACCCTTTCCAGCATTTACTGTTTCTAGGTTTTTTGATAATGGCTATTCTGACCAGCGTGAGGTGATACCTCACTGTAGTTTTGATTTGCATTTCTCTGATAATTAGTGATGTTGAGCATCTTTTCATGTGCCTCTTGGCCATCTGTATGTCTTCCTTAGTGAAATGTCTATTTAGGTCTTCTGCCCATTTTTTAACTGGATTGTTTGATTTTTGATATTGAGCTCCAAGAGCTGCTTGTATATTTTCAAGATTAATCCTCTGTCTGTTGTTTCATTTGCAAATGTTTTCTCCCATTCTGAAGGTTGTCTTTTTGTCTTGTTTATGGTTTTCTTTGCTGTGCAAAAGCTTTTAAGTTTAATTAAGTCCCATTTGTTTATTTTTGTTTTTATTTCTGTTACTCTAAGAGGTGGGTCAAAAAAGATCTCGCTGTGGTTTATGTTAAAGAATGTTTTTCCTATGTTTTCCTTTAAAAGTTTTATAGTATCTGGTCTTACATTTAAGTCTTTAATTCATTTGGAGTTTAGTTTTGTGTATGGTGTTAGGAAGTGTTCTAATTTCATTCTTTGACATGTAGCTGTCCAGTTTTCCCAGCACCACTTATTGAAGAGGCTGTCTTTTCACTGTTGTATGTTCTTGCCTCCTTTGTCGTAAGTTAGGTGCCCATATGTGCATGGGTTTATCTCTGGGCATTCTATCCTGTACCATTGATCTATATTTCTGTTTTTGTGCCAGTACCATACTGCCTTGATTACTGTAGCTTTGTGGTATAGTTTGAAGCCGGGGAGGCTGATTCCTCAAACTCTGTTTTCTTTCCCAAGATTGCTTTGGCTATTGGGGGTCTTTTGTGTTTCCATATGAATTGTAAGATTTTTTGTTCTAATTCTGTGAAGAATGCCATTGGTAGTTTGATAGGGATTGCATTGAATCTGTAGATTGATTTGGGTAGTATAGTCATTTTCACAATGTTGATTCTTTCAACCCAAGAACATGGTATATTTCTCCATCTGTTTATGTCATCTTTGATTTCTTTCATCAGTGTTTCATAGTTTTCTGAGTTCAAGTCTTTCGCCTCCTTAAGCAGGTTTATTCCTAGGTATTTTTCTTTTTGTTGCAATGGTAAATGGGAGTGTTTCCTTAATTTCTCTTTCTGATTTTTAGTCATTGGTGTATAGGAATGCCAGAGATTCCTGTGCATTAATCTTGTATCCTGCAACCTTACCAAATTCGCTGATTAGTTCTAGTAGTTTTCTGGTGCCATCTTTAGGATTTTCTATGTGCAGTATCATGTCATTGGCAAATAGTGACAATTTTGCTGCTTCTTTTGCAATTCGTATTCCTTCTATTTCTTTTTCTTCCCTGATTGCTGTGGCTAGGACTTTCAAACTATGTTCAATAAGAGTGACGAGAGTGACATCCTTGTCTTCTTCCTGATCCTAGTGGAAATGCTTTCAGTTTTTCACCATTGAGTGTGATGCTTCCTGTGTGTTTGTCATATTTTGTCTTTATTATGTTGAGGTAGGTTTCCTCTGTGCCCATTTTGTGGAGAGTTTTTATCATAAATGGATGTTGAATTTTGTAAAAAGCTTTTTCTGCATCTGTTGAGATGATCATATGGTTTTTAATTTGTTAATGTGGTGTATCACATTGATTGATTTGCATATACTGAAGAATCCTTGCATCCCTGGGATAAATTCCACTTGATTCTGGTGTATGATACTTTCAATGTGCTGTTGGATTCTGTTTGCTAGTATTTTGTTCAGGATTTTTGCATCTATGTTCATCAGTGATATTGGTCTATAATTTTCTTTTTGTGTTGACTTTTTGATGATGGCCATTTTGACTGGTGTGAGGTGATAGCTCATTGTAGTTTTTCGTTTTTTTTTGGCCACCCTGCATGGCTTGTGGGATTTTAATCCCCCGACCCGGGATTGAACCCAGGCCCTCAGCAGTGAGAGTGCAGAGTCCTAACCACTGGACCATCATTGTAGTTTTGATTTGCATTTCTCTAATAATTAGCGATGTTGAGCATCTTTTCATGTGCCTCTTGGCCATCTGTATGTCTTCTTTGGAGAAATGTCTGTTTAGGTCTTCAGCCCATTTTTTGATTGGGTTGTTTGTTTTTTTGATATTGAGCCGCATGAGCTGTTTGTAAATTTTGGAGATTAATCCCTTTTTGGTTGCATCATTTGCAAATATTTTCTCCCATTCTGCAGGTTGTCTTTTCGTTTTGTTTATCGTCTCCTTTGCTGTGCAAAAGCTTTTGAGTTTAATTAGGTCCCTTTTATTTTTTTTTTTATTTTTATTTTTTTTTCCTTTTATTTTTTTTTAACATCTTTATTGGGGTATACTTGCTTTACATTGTTGTGTTAGTTTCTGCTGTATAGCAAAGTGAATCAGCTATATGTATGCATATATCCCCATATCCCCTCCCTCTTGCATTTCCCTCCCACCCTCCCTGTCCCACCCCTCTAGGTGGTCACAAAGCACTGAGCTGATCTATGAGTCTGCTTCCAGCTAGCTATCTGTTTTACATTTGGTAGTGTACATCCATTTGTTTATTTTTGTTTTTATTTCCATTACTCAGGGAGATGGATTGAAAAAGACACTTCTGCGATTTATGTCAAAGAGTGTTCTGCCTGTGTTTTCCTCTAAGAGTTTTATAGTATCCCGTCTTACATTTAGGTCTTTAATCCTTGAGTTTATTTTTGTGTATGGTGTTAAAGAATGTTCTAATTTCATTTTTTTACGTGTAGCTGTCCAGTTTTCCCAGCACCATTTATAGACTTCCATCTTGAAAGCATATTTCTAAAAATGTTTGCTGTGTCTTTGTCAAAGTATACTGAGTGGTAAATAAGTGCTCTTAAAGATGTTTAGCGTTTCCTATTTTAAACTGTGTTATGAAGTTTATAGAAATAAGTCTTAACATCTTTTTTAAAGTTGAAGCATAGTTTATTTACAGTATTATCTTAGTTTTGGGTGTACAGCATAGTGATTCAATATTTTTACAGATTAAAGTCTTACATCTTGATTTCAATTTTTTTCTAAAAATATTACCTAAATGTAAGTCATTTATACTGATTTTTTATGACTTCTTATATAAGACTCTCCTGAAAAAACTACACTGGCTGCAAAGCTATCTGCTAAGAAACAGGCATCCATGTACAGAGATGAAAATGATGATTTTCAAGTAGAGAAGAAAAGAATTCGACCCTTAGAAACTACACAGCAGGTAAACAGTTTATTGGCGGTGGAATAATCCCGTTAGTTATAGCTGAACAAGGTAGTCAAGTATCAATCATTTTTCAGTGGCATCTGTAGAGATTATTTTGGGTAGTGTCAGATGTGAATTAAATGGTAAATTATTATAATTTCATTGTATAGAGTTACTCATTACAAAGGAGTTTATTATAGTAAATTATTCATAGTAGCATGTCATTAAAGTGAAACTGAATGGTGCTTTCTTATATATAAGGAATTTGACAATAAAATATTTACTTAAGGCATGTATCAGTAACAGAGCTACTTGGTACTTTTTAACTCCTTGTTTTTATCTAATAATGGCATTTTCTTTTGGCCAATATACCTCTGATATGAATATTTAGGTCATAGATACTTTTGGTATTGATAGTTTTAATGTAATGACAAGGTTTACTGTTATTGAGTTTTTAATATCAATACATTATAAAATATGTTTATTTCTAAAAATTATTGAAGAACCGAAATTACTAGAAATTTTAAATGAAATGTTTTCATAGGTGAAAACAGTGTTTTCTCATAGAGTTCATGGCATTGAGGTAAGGAGGATGGACTTTAGACTTAGTTACAAATAAAAAAGATTATTAAATTAACATGTCCTTTGTAGATAATTGTATATTTTTAATTGAATATACTCAAAAGGTGTTTGCATTTTTATGTAGTTTATCTGTTCCATTTACAATGTTTATTAACTTCCATGATTAAACCTTGTTTTTAGAAATAGAATGAAATCATTTTCTAGTTTTATATTTGGAAAATCACCAATTACAAATGAAGTATCTCTAGAGATTTCTTTCCCCCAAAATGTGTACTTAGAGTTGGATGTTCTGAGGTAGAGCTCAACATATAGCATTTATTCCCTGACTTCATTGGCTCTCATTTCTTTTTTGTAGGAATGCAATTATCGACAGAAACGCTTCTTTTCCTCTTTATAATTTAAGTAAATAGGTTTTGGCAAGTAAGAAAAAGCATAGATAGCTTGGAAAGAAAACAGTGGTGTTTATAAAAGAAATTTAGTCAAATACAATTTGGATTATCAAATATCTAGTAAGTAATATAATAATAGTAATCAAGTAATTTATTTCATCAGGTAGGAAATAATGAATATTTACATTTAAAGTTTTTATTCTGTGTGTTTTTTCAATTTAGAATAAGGTTTCCATTTTTATTTACTTTTATTTTCCAATTAGATATGTAATCGGACTTTGCCATAATACTATTCTTAGTATCCATATGGTGGGGCTGTTTTATGGGAAGATCATTTTACAATGCTATAGTTTTGCCACATCATTAATTAAAGCTATTTTGGTCGGAATTTGAGAGGTATTACTGTATTCTGTTTTATTTAAGTTTTATAATAAGGTGCCTATTTGTTTTTAGAAACTTTTTGATTGTTGTCAGTGAGAAATAGTCATTTCTTTTATTGCTGAAAACATACGTTATAGCTATTCTGATCTTTGAGAGCAACTAGCCTCATCAAACTTCCTAGTTACAATAAGTTTTATTTTGGTTCTGTATTTACAGATTAGAAAACGTCATTGTTTTGAAAAGGAGGTGCACCATTTGGATGCAAAAGTTGCTTCAGGAAAGACCACAAAACTCAACTCCCCATTAGGAAAGATAAATTCCTTTTCTCCACAAAATGTATGTATTTATACCATTGTTCAGTTTAAAGAAGGAAAATGTGGAATTTGCTAAATCCATTTTTGAAAAAGATGAAGAATAGTATAATCAAAGAAGAGTAGAAAACAACTCAGAAGTCCTAAGTGCTGTCACATGTCTTCTGCTGTGTGAGATGGTAAACCTATGCTCTTTGTGCCCCAGTTTCCTCATTTATAAAATAAGAGAATTGGACTAGAATGAGATCTGAAAGTTTTTTTCCTCTTTTACATTCTAATGTTTGTGAACTCTACTTCCTAGAGTTCTTTCAGTGTCCTTAGGGCATCACTTCTCAAGGAGTAGTCCAGGGAGCTCTGGAGATTCCTGAGATTTTTTTCCAGATAGTCTGTGAGGTCAAAAGTATTTTCATAGTGATGTTAAGATGTTACTTACCTTTTTTTTTTTTTTTTTTTTTTTTTTTACCATCTTTGACATTTGCACTGATGGTACAAAAGCATAGGTTGGTAAAACTGTTGGTGCTTTAACACAATAAGGGTAGTGGCATCAACCTGTATTAATAGTAATTTTCTTCACCGTCGTTAATGCACAGTTAAGAAAAGCCAGTTTCACTTAAGTCCTTGATGAAGCAGTAAAAATTACTAATTTTATTAAATCTTCACCCTTGAGATTTTTAACATTCTGTGTGAAGAATAGAGTAGTTTTCGTAAATCACTTTTGCATTCAGAAGTAGGATGGTTTTCTTGAGGGAAAGCACTTATAGGATTGTTTGGATTGTGAGCTGAACTAGCCACTTTTTTCACAGAACATTGTTTTTACTTGAAAGAATAACTGAGACTAACTTCGGTAATTCTCGAAAATAAAGTGAGCCTGATAAAATTTCAGATTTCAGTGAAAAATCAGAATTTTGAAAAATTGTGTATACTACTGTGAGCTTAGCAGTTTTCTGATACTTAAAGACTCTGATGATATTTATTGGTGGTGATATTGTATATGTGACTTTTTGATATTGTATAATGAAATATGTTTTAATTATATAGTTTTATATAAATGGAATCATGCCTGGAATTTTTTATTGAATTCCAAATATTGCGAAGTTTACCTTGTTGGGTACTGGATATTATTGTATTTCTATAAGTACTCTTGAGTTTTGCTCTGGGATGCAGTTAAATTACTTGGAATCAGCTTGATCCTTTTGGTTCTTGCTTTTAGGATTTGTTAGGTAGGGCCTGAGCCGGGTTTAGTTTTGGGCTACCTCAGTAGAGGCTACCTCCTTTTGAGTCCTCTACCTAATGCTCCATGAGTTATGAAGTTTTCCAGCCTGGCTGGTGGGAACAGGCACTGTTCCATGCTGTCTGTGAGTGTCTCATCATTTCAGGTGGTTCTTGCCACTATCTTGGATTGTTTCCTCATTGGCATGTGCTGATCAGTACTCTACTAGATACTTGAGAGGTCCTTCTGCAGATCTCTGGAGTGCATTCTTTGTGCGGCACTCTCCATTCTGCTTTCTTCTCTGTGAACTTTAGTCTTCTTGGTCTCCCTGGACTCTCAGCAGTGTCTCTTCACCTTGGGTTTGCTGGGCTATATCTTGGTTCCCCTTCCCCATGCCACAGCATGCAAACTCTCAGGACAACAAGCTGAAAGAATCATAAGGCTTAATCTCATTTGTTTCCCATCTCTCAGGGATCACTCTTCCTTACCTGATGTCCTGTCTTAAAAACTATTGTCTCATATAGTCTGTCTGTATTTTTAGTTTTTCAGGTAGGGGATGGAACAACTCATTGACAAATTCCAGAAGTCTTTAGATGGCTTATAAAGCTCCTGTTTACCTGTACAGTCTTTAGGCCTTTATAAACTTTTTGCATTCTTTTGCCCTTTCTCCTCTTTCCCACTTTTTTTGTCTGACTTCTGATAATCCTTCAGGAAGCCTTCCTTGGTGTCCCCAATTTTGAGTTAGATTCCCATCTGGAATGTTCCTTGTATTTCTCAAGAACATTTTCTTTTTTTTTTTAATTAACATTTTATTTTTATTTTATGTAATTAATTAATTAATTTATTTATTATTTTTGGCTGCATCAGGTGTTTTTTTTTTAATCATCTTTATTGGAGTATAATTGTATGGATATGTATGTTCCTATTACCATTTTCTTAATTGTTTTGGGTTTGTCATTGTAGGTCTTTTCCTTCTCTTGTGTTTCCTGCCAAGAGAAGTTCCTTTAGGATTTGTTGTAAAGCTGGTTTGGGCGTGCTGAATTCTCTTAGCTTTTGCTTGTCTGTAAAGGTTTTAATTTCTCTGTCAAATCTGAAATGAAATCCTTGCTGGGTAGAGTAATCTTGGTTGTAGGTTTTTCCCTTTCATGACTTTAAATATGTCCTGCCACTCCCTTCTGTCTTGCAGAGTTTTTTGCTGAAAGATCAGCTGTTAACCTTATGGGGATTCCCTTGTATGTTATTTGTTGTTTTTCCCTTGCTGCTTTTAATATATTTTCTTTGTATTTAATTTTTGGTAGTCTGATTAATCTGTGTTTTGGCATGTTTCTCCTTGGATTTATCCTGTATGGGACTTTTCTGTGCTTTTTGGACTTCATTGACTATTTCCTTTCCCGTATTAGGGAAGTTTTCAACTATAATCTCTTCAAATGTTTTCTCAGTCCCTTTCTTTTTCTCTTCTTCTGGGACTCCTATAATTCGAATGTTGGTGCGTTTAATGTTGTCCCAGAGGTCTCTGAGACTGTCCTCAATTCTTTTCATTCTTTTTTCTTAATTCTGCTCTGCAGTAGTTACTTCTACTATTTTATCTTCCAGGTCACTTATATGTTTTTCTGCCTCATTCTGCTATTGATCCCTTCTGGAGAATTTTTAATTTCATTTATTGTGTTGTTCATCATTGTTTGTTTGCTCTTTAGTTCTTCTAGGTTCTTGTTAAACGTTTCTTGTATTTTCTCCATTTTATTTCCAAGATTTTGCATCATCTTTACTATCATTACTCTGAATTCTTTTTCAGGTAGATTGCCTATTTCCTCTTTGCATCAGGTCTTAGCTGTGGCACACGGGATCTTTCATTGTGCCGCACAGGCTCTTCGTTTCGGTGTACAGGCTTCTCTCTAGTTGTGGTGTGCGGGCTCCAGAGTGCACAGGGCTCAGTAGTTGTGGTGTGCAGGCTCTCTAGTTGTGTCATGTGGGGTCCAGAGTGCGTGGGCTCTATAGTTGTGGCACGCGGGGTCACCAGTTGTGACACGCAGGCTCAGTAGTTGTGGTGCGTGGGCTTAGTTGCCCTGCGGCATGTAGGATCCTAGTTCCCTGACTAGGGATCGAACCCACATCCTCTGCATTGGAAGGCGGATTCTTAACCACTGGACCACGAGGAAGTCCCTACTTCCCAGTTTTTAACACTCACCTTACTCTTAATATCCTCTCCACAGGCTCTTAGTTCCATTATGGACAACACCAGTTTCTCTGAGACCTCCTTGAAGACTGTGACTGTTTTATTCATCTTTTTGTTTCAAGCACCTAACGTAGTGCCAGGAACCTAGTTGTAGACTGAGTAAATGAATACCATAATCCCTGCCCTCAAAGAGCCTTCTTTTAAATTCTTGAAAATACTGAGTGGGGGAAAAGAATAGTCAGTTATCTTCAGAGAAGCCTTATGTTTGGAGAAGTCATCTCAGGAGTTTTTAATGTCAGTAAAAATATATGCTTTATGTTTGCCAGTGTTTTCTTGCTCATTTTCTTTCACTGTACCTTATTGTCTTCATAGCCCTTACTATTTGAATTTATTAGTCTACTTGTTTATTATCTATTTGCCCTGTTAGAATGTAATGTCAATCTTTTTCACGGGTATCTCGGCTACCTAGAACAGCGTATGGCATATATTAGTTGCCCAATAAGTATTTGTTGGTAGAATCTTATTGAATTCTTATAATGACTTTGAGGCAGGTACTATTGTTATTCTCATCTTACAGATAAGGAAACTCTGAGAAGTAAGTAATTTGCCTAAGGTCACAAAGCTGGCAAATAGTGGGGTTAGATCCTACCTAAGGAGTCTGATGCTCTGGCAAATGCTCTAATTACTTTATTATACATTCTCTAAAATGCCTCAGAAATTCTGGAGCCATGTAAACAGTATTCTAGCACCAAGATAAGGGGAAAAATATGTAGAAGCCTCAAGGCTAAAGAAATCAAGTATAGAATAATATGATTGATAATAGCTAAAATAAGATAAAGTTTTTTGTTTTTTAAGGATTTTTTTTGTTTCGTTTTGTTTTTACTGGTTAAGAGAATGAGCTCAAATCAGAGTGCCTGGGTTTTAATCACAGTTTTGCTCTTTACAACCTTTGTAACCTTGATTAAGGTTTTAAACTATCGCTACTTCATTTTCTCATTTGTTAAATGGGGATGGTAATAGTATCTATCTTACAGGGCTGCTAGAGGATTAAATAAGTTAATACTTATAAAGTGCTTAGATTATACCTGGCATATCTTGGAGCTTATTAAGTGGTAAGTGGTAGTAAAAGTATCATCAGCAGCAGTTGTAGTAGTAGCAGCAAATACTTACATATTTGTATGCTGCTGATAAAAGGTATTATATAATACTGGTTAATAATATTAATTTTCAGAAGTTAGGTTTATAATTAGCAAATTCTTTTAATATGTGTTAAAGATGTTTATAGCTCAGCCTGTTTAGGATCTAGACCACTTGACCATAAGCAGAGCTACTGTGCTCCTGGCTGAGTATCTTAATTTTAAACTAAGTTCTTTGATTGATTTCTTGTTTTGGTTATGTACTATGTTGATCATTTATTATGATCTTCTTATTGGCAAAGTATAATTGTATCTATACATGTGTATCTATATCTTTATATCAGTTTTATTTTTAAACCAGAAGTTACAAGTTTTCTTCCTTGGCTTTAGCTGGTATAGGTCTACATTGCTTTAGAAATGCAATAATTTTTCATAGATGGGTGATTTATTACTCATAATGTTAAAGGTATGGGTTTCTGACAATTTCTTATAAGTTTGAAGATTTA